TAAGGAGAGACATGGAGATGATTTCACATGAGTTGTTCTAAGCACACTGAGATCTATCAATGTGTTCTTCCACTATCAGGGCACCCACTGCCTCCCACGTGACTAGCCTCCGGATTGACTGCCTGGCCCTCACCTCCAAGGGTTTCATCTGCTCGGCCAGCAATGGTACTCTCTACATCTTTGACAAGACAGAGGACCCCACCGTTTTCCAGGAGGCCCGCTCAGTGAGGCTCAGCGAAGAATCCTCCAGCCCTGAGGCTACTGGCTCAGGTGAGCTCCTTTCAAGTCTGAAAGCTCTCTACATGAATAAACCTGCATAAGAGCTCCTCAGCATTACCTTATGTAAAAGTTTTAGGGAACTTGCTTCATACAACCAAGAAACTCATACTAGAAGCAACATGACTAAGGAGTGAAATAGTATGGACATGAAATGATGTGCCGTGTTTTGTGTGTGCAGTGGCAGTGGGTGAGGGAGCGCGCCCATAGATGAGCATGAGTGGTGAGTCCGTCGTTAAAGTTACAATCACAAATGCTCACTTCACCACATCCCCATACTTTTCTCACCTGTACAAAAGCAATTTCTTACCTCCCTTTTTTCCCCCCACACCTTCCTCGCCCTCTACTGACTTCCTCACCTTACTCTGTCTTCGAGTTCCGTCTCTGACCCCTCCCCACCGTACAACCTCCCTCGTCCCTCCCCGTCCACTCCGTGTCACGTGCCCCCCTTCCTACCCCTCCCCCTCACCCCCCCACCCACCCCTCCCCCCCATATACTTTTGGCTTTTTCCAACTTCCCTCCCAGCAGCTCATCGTCCACACTCTCTCCTCCTCCGACCTCACAAAGGTACCCACCCACCCACGGTACACTGATTCAAGGAGAGAGCGAGAATGTGCAGTGGCAATGCTGTACACTCAGGATGGGGATTTTTTACATTTAGAGTGAGGGGAAATGCTGGGGTACTATATAGACTATCCATCTAGTTAAAGGGGGAATATGGTCCCCTAGAAGAAAACTGGCTCAGGTGTGCTCCGTTTAACCCCACCACACACTGGCCATACTTAGTATGCTGCACACATGACGTGCAGTGTTGTGACTTAATTACGCAACATGTTCAGGGTCTCTCCGCGTCTTCGTTTGACTATCTCTCCTGTTCCTTCCACCACGGAGCGGTGACAGGGTTGGACGTGTGCCTCAGGAAACCCATAGTTGCCACCTGCTCCCTCGACAAGACCATCCGCGTCTGGAACTATGAGAACAAGTCAGTCTCTCTCTCATCCCCTCTCTAGAATGTCAGTAACATCCCTTCTGCTTGTTAATTAGTGCCAAACTTTTGAAACAAGGTTTTTGTAAGTCTAAAAACATGAGAGTTTTTTCTCTTAGAAATAGGTCTATGAGCAAAAAAAGTGTACATGAAACATACATCTGCACCTTGAAACTGTTCAATTCTCAAGGCCCTATAAGGTTTTTTTGTGTGTGAGTGTGAGAGATTATTTGGGCATGTATCTCTCACATGCACACACAGCTCTCTGGATCTCCATAAAGAGTTCCCTGAGGAGGCGTACAGTGTTGCCCTCCACCCCAGCGGGCTGTTTGTCCTGGTCGGGTTCAGCGAGAAACTGAGACTAATGAGTCTCCTCATCAACGATATCCGCCCCTACAAGGAGTTCCTCATCAGAGGCTGCAGAGAGGTGCGCTTCTCTTCAACCACCTTCATTTCAAATTCTATGCTACTCCGCCAAGGAAACCTTTTCGACAGGAATGTTTCACATTTTTTCAATGAGCTAAGGGGGCATCTGTATGTCAACCTGCATTCACAATACATGATTCCTAAGTGTACCTTTTCAGCAAACGTTTCCAAATGTAAAGAATGGGCTAAAGGGGTCTATAATGTTCTGGTTTAATTGACCCTCACGAAACAATCTCTCGTTTGAGAGTCTCTCTCTGTCTTCTTTCACTCAGTGTTCCTTCAGTCACGGAGGTCACCTGTTTGCAGCAGCCAACACAAACCTCATTCAAATCTTCTCCACTTTCTCCTTTGAGAACACCGCCAACCTCAAGGGACACAACGGAAAGGTGACCCACATTTACTACAATCATACACACTGTGAGCCCTGCTACCCTGGTGTTATATTATGGAAGAAGAGTGCTCTGCCTATAAAGTCACACTTTAGGGGAAAAATCGGTGTCGTTTTGTTGTTTGATATGCACTTGGCCTTACTTTTGATTCATACACACCACATGACGATCATGTGACTGTCACATGACTACATAGGTCCGCTGCATCAAGTGGAGTCAGGACGACACGCAGATAGTCAGCTGCAGTATGGACGGAGCGGTGTACGAGTGGGGCGTCCTCTCGGGGAGGAGGGAGAATGAGTGTGTGGTGAAGTCCTGCAGCTACACCTGTCTCACCCTCACCCCTGACCTCCGCACGACCTTTGTCGTCAGTACTGACTCCACCCTCAGCGAGATGATCCTCACCGACTCCACTGTAAGATGTTTGATCACTAACTCAGTCGTAGTATTATAATGGGCACACATGCACTTCAGATAGTGTGTACAAATCTATGGGGATGTGGGTTCAAATCATCACATTCAAACAAATCAGTTATGTAAGTAAGGCTCACTAAACCTTCTGAGGTTACTGTAGACAGCTACGTACTTTAAGGCATGAATGATTGGGCTTCAAAATCAAGCAACATCTTCTGAATCTGCCCTAACATATGTACAATGGGGATGTGGGTTTTCAAAATTTCTGAATGTGCCCTCTCCCTCACTCCCTCCTGGCAGGTTGTTCGCAGTGTGCCCACGGGAGACGTACTGACGGAGGTGGTCCTGTCAGGCTCGGGTCGGATGCTGTTTGCAGGGAGCAGTTCTGGCAGTGTGCGATCCCTCAAGTTTCCACTCAATGAGGCCGGAGAGTTCACCGAGCACCAGACACACTCTGCACCCATCACCAGGGTCAGTGTAGTATGATATGGTCTCTCTCTAGTAAAGGCTTGTCGGCAAGTATCGGAGGAAAAAATACAAGTGCTTCTATTATTATGAACCCACCCGCCTCGCCTTATTCAGTCTGTATCGCACTTTACGCTACATAGTTCTTTCCGTACTCGTGTGTTCACTTAGTCATTAATATCTATTTTCTCTCTCTACTTCCTTCTTTCTCTCCCCCTCCTCTCTCTCTCTCTCTCTCTTCCTATTCCAGATGAGGATATCGTATGACGACAGTTGTCTGTTCTCGGTGGCCAAGGACGGCTCTCTATTCTGTCACAGAGTCTCCGACAAAGACGGCAGGGGATACCGCAAAGACAAGGACACTCCTTTTGCCGAGGAAGTCCTTGTCACCAAATCAGACATGGAGGAACTGGTGATTTAAGCTTCACGCACACACACACACACACACACACAGAAGGCTACATATGACCAAACTCTAATTTTTCCTGATCAATCTACACAATGTATGTTCACACAGAACTCTGAGCTGAGTGAGTACAAGAACAAGGTGGGGGAGCTGAGGTCAGAGAACGACTATCAGCTGCGACTCAAGGACATGAACTACGGGGAGAAGATGAAGGAGATGAGAGATAGCCACGCCCACGAGATGGAGAAACTGCGGACCCAGTACGAGGTATGTGTGTAGCTATCAACAATTGAAAAAAGGGTTTGGTCGACTGGTGAACCAATTGAAACTGCGTCAAGCTTTCAGCACATGCCAATTGAGGCTGTCTGTGACAGTTGGACACTTTCCCTGTACTCCCAAAAATATCCAATTAGAGGGGTTAATTAGAGAGGTGTCAAGGGAATGAGGTGCTAACGTGACTACTGCAGCTACTCGGTTTGAGACTAAGTTTTTCTACATCCCCAGACTCTGCGTACGGACAGGGAGAGAGAGCAGGCGGACTACGAGGCCAGACTGGGCAAGATGGACGAGGACCACTCTGCAACACTCCAGGATATGGACGACTCCAACAACAAGAAACTCATGACGGAATACGAGAAGTACCAGGAACTGCAGGCCAGGAGCCTCAAACTACAGGAGGTGACGTCATCATTACATCACCTAAATACATGCTTTTAGACATTATTCATTGACTTAGGGGGTCAGATGTCATAAACTAGATGTGGGAAGTCTACATTATGTGTTAGCTACGAAAAGCACGGTGCAGCATGACAATTTGGTAGTCATCACACATTAGCACATTTCCACTAAACACGTGTATAATGGAATCAGTGGCACTGTACATATGTATGCATGCAGGAGTACGAGAAGAGGATAGAGGAGATGGAGGAGGCGAGAGAGAAGGCTCTCCAGGAGGTGACCGACCACTATGAGACCAAACTGGAGGAGAGAGACAGACAGAGAGAGCAGGTGGGACCTCTATAACATAGTGAGATATGACTCAGTATAATAATTATACAGTAGTGAGCTACCAAAAGGGTTGATTGGCGGAGAGAAATGTACCAATACGTCTGTCACAAAACACTGTGCCCACACAAATGTCTGAACACCACACTCCATATACACACGTCTGCTTGCTTGCCATACTTTAACTGTGGCTATGTATAACGTATGTACGCTGGTATTGACAGTCGAATCCCCTCTCTCTGGCCAACCTGTCAGGAGTACGATGAGCACCGCCAGCAGCAGAGAGAGGCAGAGGAGATGCTGAGACAGACGGAGGAGGACGCAGACGAAGAGATACTGCAACTCAAGAACAAGTACGAGTGGCAGCTGCGCAAGAGACAAGAAGAGTGCACCAAGATGAAGGGAGAGCTGGGACTCCAGAACAAAAAGGTATACACGCACGGACACACCACGAATGAGTCAGCTGTTCTATGTACCCGCTTCAAGAGACTATTTTACCACACTGAATTTGCATAAGAGCCAAAAAGAGCAAAGAAAGAATGCCGACTGCCACTTAGCACTACAGTGCAATGAGTTGCGTTACACATCCTGTCTTTCCTCATCCTATGCAAAGAGTTATCTCCAAATTCAGAGTGTGTCCAAGTTTGCTGTACCCCTCCCTTCCCTTCCCTTCCCACCTATACATACAGGTGAGCAGTCTCCAGGAGGAGATTCGGCAGTTGAAGGAGAAGAATCAGCAGCTGGGGGTGGAGGTGAGGAATGAGAGAGTGTGCTCGGAACTTGCGCATAATGCGTCTCTCAAGACACGAGGCACCTCGTAGGGCCATCCTCGCAGTGCATGATCGTGCACGCGCAGAGACGCACAGCGTGCTACGAAGCGACACAGGTGTGAACGAGTCGTGTAACACAAGGGATCTGTGATACAACTCAAACTCCTCCAGGCGGGCATGCGCTGGTGTAATCTAGCAAACCTCGTTACCCAGGACCTGCTGGACTCACCCAGTCGTTACACAGCTGCCTGCAACAGATTATTATACGACGCTCAAAAAATACAGCACTATCTATCTACACCCCAACATATTTTCTCTCTGCTAGAATGAAGGGAACACAGTATATATTATTAGTGAGCGAATGTAAATGTGCAAGTTTTTTTTAAATTTCAATATTTATGTACCCCCTCTGAGAGCGTGTCATTTCAAAGCTGTTGTGTAGGTACAGTTCATTACTGTAGAGTAATGGCTGTGGTGTGGTGTGTGGTGTACGTATATAGGAGAAGAGGATCTATGACCTGAAGAAGAAGAACCAGGAGCTGGAAAAGTTCAAGTTTGTGCTCGACTACAAGATCAAGGAGCTGCGGAAACAGATGGAGCCTCGGGAGAACGAGCTCAAGAGGATGAAGGAACAGATACAAGAGGTCTGAATAATAACCATTTCATGCTAAATGGATCCGTCGTGCCTCATACCTGCATGCAATGAAGTTGTACCATTACACAAAATCATAGTGACTTACAGACACCCTCCTCTCTCTCGTAGATGGAGGAGGAGCTGGGGATGTCCAGTAGGGACATCAAGAGTCTGGAGCTGGAGCTTGAGCAGAGCAGGCTCCAGATATCAGCCAAGGACAAGGAGATTCGCAGAGAGAGACAGTCGGTGGAGGACCTGCGGACGGAATTGAGGAACATCAAGACCGGGCTGGACAGGTCGTCTCGCTACATCCAGGAACCCAAGGAGCTGAAAGAGGCGTGTGAAAGGATCGTGTACGGAGCACTTGACGACTCAAGCCGTAAGCGGTCTTAAAATCTCCACTCTTGTTCACATACATAGGGACAAATTGCATCTGTGTAAATGTGAAATTGAGTATGGATCTATTGAGGGACAAAACTGCATGCAAATCTGCGCCATCAACTTAGCCTCGGGGGACAAAATGCATGTTGCACATCTTTGTCATCAACTTATATACAATGCAGATCTGTATATATACACGCTAACACTATAGGCAGCACTAATCATCTGTCTTACTTCAGCTGTTTCTAGCTCCCCTTGTATTACCTCCACATAAAAAATGCTCTCTATCTCTCTACACATTGTACACGCAGACTGGTCACGGAGACTCGTTGGCAGAGAGGGACATGGGGTCAGAGTACGCGAGACAGAGGGAGCACATGGAGCGAAGTGTGGCGTCTCTCAGGAAGAAACTGGCCAAAGACACGGAGATACATCGCAAGGACAACATCAGAGTCATGCAGGTTAACACCTTGAATGACTCCTTATACACTGTATCTTGAGTGTGGCAATGGAGTGGGCTAAACTTTTCCTACTTTTTGCAAGTGAGCCAGGGATGAATGACAGGCAAACTAATGAATACCTTGGCAATAAACATTGTACTTTAGCAAGTTTCACTATTGTAGTTTGTGAAGTCTGTTGGACTGTGTTACTTGTGTTTTTGTTCCTGCTCTCTCTCCTCCCTCCTCCGCAGGAGAATGTGTCACTGCTAAAAGAGATCAATGACCTCCGTACAGAACTAAAGAAATCTCGCACCACAGCCCACGATCTCGAGGCCGTACTAAAGATTGCTCGCAAACAGGGCTTCGACGAGATGGCGGCTCTAGCCAGCACCGTCCCCCATCTCCCTCCCACGGGGCTGGCAAAGGTCGAGCCACCAGCCGACAGCCAGCGAGTGATCGAGATCCAGCGAGCCGAGATCAGTCGTCTCCGCGGTCTACTGAGGGAGGCAGAGAATCGACCGTCGTCTGTAATGCGGCTCCCTCCCATGCAGCACTCCTCACCTCTTCCTGTAGTCTAGTGAACACCTCTCCTCTATACGCACACTATGCATACTCCATAACAACAATGTCTTCTATCGCACCGTTTGTAAAGAAAAGACTCTTGCATAATATATGAATGCAAATACGGCTATTGTATAATACCGTATATACAAACTTCACTAAGTAACGTATGTATGAATGCGCATTACCAAACAACGATAGTTTTCACTGAACTTTACACTGGAAAGCAGGAAACTTAAAGCAAATTTATAGGCTCACTGCGAAAGTCTTCTCTGCGAAATTTGAACAGAAAAGGATTGCAAATAGATTACAAAAGATTTCTCCAAGTTCTTCACAGTATGTACTGTGCACAAGGAACTAGTGAGAGGTATGGTTATGGTGCTGCGGTGGACGGGTTCTACTGATGACTGACACTCTCTGTTCTCTCGAGACCGTCTGACCTTTGAACCCGGACTCTTCCCCAGTCAGAGGTACGGCGTGAGTGTAGTTGTGTCTGACACGCCCCCTGACAGAGAGGGAACCGACACACATGTAAACACACAAGCATCTCTATTGCATGGGGCCGAAAATAGAAATGCATCAGTTTGTCACGTGTATAAATTAGTGTATGGAGCCATCTAAGATCAAAAGCATAGTCGGTAAACACGAAATGATTACGTAATGAGTGGGTGTGGCACAGGCTAGGTTTACCTACCTCATGATATAGATGGAGAGAGGGGGAAGGAGGGCCCTGATCCACTTGGTACTGTCGTCCTCATGTTGGAACACCATCACACACTCTGACACTAGACTCAGTCCAGCTATCACATCTCCACAGAACTGGATTAGAGAAATACTCAGTAGACTACTATAATGTAAATACGTTATACCTTTATGCTATCGATGTGGGGCCTTATAAACCTACGAGGAAAAAAGGAACAGTACGCAGACAAAACCCAAGGGAGAGTAGAGATTATGAACAGTAAAAATGAGGCAGATTCCAGGGACTCACCCATCGTTTGCTAAGTCCAGGACGTGGACTTCATCTAGGGCCCTGACGTCCTCTCCCCCTGCATCCTCGGCCACCTGCTTCAGTCTGTGTATCACCGGCGGATTGGCCTCTCCCCACACTGGCTTCTCCGTCTCTCTGTAGCCCTCTATGGCCTGCAAACATCACCAAAGTCGTAAAGTTGGAGTATGGAACAGTATGCCACTCTAGGTATTATAATAAAATCAGGTTTCAACGATAATGAGTGGGAGAAAAGATAAACCAACCCCCCACCCCTCTTCAACGATTATGCATGCATATGAGTTGAAGAAGAGAAAACCATCATCAATATTTTGCCTTTAGTTGGAGTATCTTTGTGGTAACACGGTCTCACCCCGTCCCAGTGGTTGTAGAGATAGCGTTTCCCTCTGAGGGTCCTCCTGATCTCCACCAGCAGACTCTCGCTCTCATCTTCTGTCACAAACCCCGGCAGGACCCCCACATCTCCACAGTCTATCTCTGCCGTCACACTGGCCTCCAGTAATGCCGGGTCACCGAGAGAAAAAGGCCGCCTAGGTGTGTGGGAAGAAGACTTGCACACTGGACGCGATGGGACACGCCCACTTATCAGCAAGCTGGAAGGAGACGGACAGACAGACGAACTAGGAAACCCTGGGTGGGTCTGGCTGCAAGCGCCAGTTAGTTTCTTTTGGTACAGGCCACTCAACTGCTTCAGGGTCGCCCTGTATACGATTCTCCCTCCTTTGAAGTGCCTCATCTGTCGTTGACCTCACGTGGGTTCGACTCTATTTAGAGCCCACCGCTGCACCGGGAGTGAAGATGCAGTTCATATCGGAGAAGGAGGTGGATGAGATAAAGGCGAAGAAGCAGAAGGAATGGGAGCAAGTCAGACGGTCTGATCAGCCACTAGGTGAGTAGGACTGCCCTTGGTCAATCATCTGGGAAGTTGGCTAGTTTGGCTTTTTAGCTATTTTTCTTTTCTAGCTGAAGTGGTTGATATTTAAGTTTCGCTATACAAGTTGTTGGCATTGGTGTTATGCTATTTCCTTGCTCTCACACTGTTGTGTTGTCTGCCTATATAGAGCGGCCGGAGGAGGCCATTGACAACAGAACTCTGTATGAGAAGCTCAAGGCACAGAAAAACCAGAAACAGGAGGAGTTTGAAGAGCAGTTCAAGTTCAGTGAGTCCCAATATTATTACCTGCAATACAACAATGTTTCGCAGTTGAATTGCGGCACATTATGAGTACAAATTTTGACGAGTTAGGGCACTATATACATCACCAAAGGTTTTTACATACATGCACATCAGCTGACCGTATTCGCAAAAACTGTTGCTTTTATGTGATTCGAATAAGTTTTATTGTTTGTTGTAGTCACCCTTTGAAGGGATTGTGACAGTATGTAAGGGCTAAATGTAGAAACCGTTACTAAAAATGGAAACTTACTTGCATTCTTGCACTGGGCCCTATTGTTTAGTTCTATCTTTAGTCTCAATTTAGCCCCTGCATTCCCTTTAAGTTGCTGTGTACGAGTGGTTGTGTTGTCTCCAGAGAACATGATATACAAAGGTCTGAATGACGAAGAGGCAGTCTTCCTCCAGCAACTGGCAGACAAACGGGCGCAGGTCGAGGCTGAGACGAGAAGCGAGGAGAGAGAGGAGCTGCAGGCATACCGGGTGTGTGAGGACCAATACACTAATACTACAATACCTATACTTGAGCTTTGTAATACAATCAAGATGGGTGCTTTTGCTGTAAGAGATTATATTGGTGCATTGGGGGTATGAGATTGGTTCATATTCAGCGATGTTCCAGTTTTTAGCAACCTATGTTCTGTGTATGTGTGCTTGTGCTTTAGTGTACGTTTGGGCTGTTTTTTTATTACCGATTATCCTTTGTGTGTATGTAGGATGCAGTAGAGAAGCTAAGTGACGAATCGGACTCGATAAAACCACTGTCTTCAACTGCCACACCTTCTGCCAGCACCTCATCCTCCTCCTCTTCCTCTCTCACCTCCTCAGTTCCAAATAAAGTACCCAAGTCACAGCTAGCACTCATTGCAGGCTCCATCAAGACCAAGAGAAAGAGGTACGCGTACTCTTGATGCAAAATCTTCACCAGCTGGTGTGGACAGATTTTGAATTCAAATCAGGAGCTCTACAGAGGATTCTGAAGTGGCCACTTCTCCCGAGAAGAAAGCAAAACTTGAAAAATCTGAGCCTCAAACCAACCATCGTACGTCCCTCTCATTATAGCCCCATTCTATATGTTTTCTTTTGAGAATGGCCTGGGGAACGAGGCTGATGTGTAAGACGATATGTAGCAGTTAGCTGTACTCCCTCCTTCACTTGCAGCTGTCACATCTGCTAGTTTGTTGTCCACAGCCCCAGCCTCCTCTGCCAGCTCGGCTCTGACTGGGATCTCTGCTTACTCCAGTGACTCTGATGAAGATTCCTCTGCCGGATAATAACTTACAGTACTGATAGTTTGGCGAGCAGCTGCTAACCTAGTGGTCCGAACAGTGCATTCTTCTTCGTGCGTCATCAAACTTTTCCACCATTCTCTATCTGCTATGAAAACGGGGTGAATAATCCCAGGTCAAATCTTTCTGCATTCATAAAGTCATAAATTCGGTAGAAGTATAGCTATACGTAACTAAAATAACAACAAACAGTACAACTAATGATGACGTAAAGGGACAAATGTACTGCTATCACATGCATTCGTAGATCGTGTCTCCAGCTACAGAAGTGGTGGAGAGACAAATGAGCTAGAGACAAAATGTACTGCTGTCATGCACTGCTGCTATCACACAGGTTCATAGAGAGAGTCTTCAGAAGCTTCAGCTGTCCTTCCTGTCCCTCTCACTACGTTGTAATTGTAGGCCTCATTACTGGTGGTCTGGAACTGGTTTGAGCTCCTGATGGAACAAGACACACAATTGGCAGGAAAAGAACCTTTGGTGATAGCATTTTGTTGATAGAACTTACACATAGTTCTTTCCTGAAGACACAGAGAGCTCTAGGCCAGTAGTTTGAGAGTCGGCATAAACAGAAGAGTGCTGACCGCTTTTGACGGCGGTCGTTTTAGCTCTTTGGAGTCTCCTCGTGAAAATGACTATCACCATAACCTGTACTGCTATAGCAGTCACAATCACCACTGCCAACACACCACCAAACACAGCTATCGACAACGTTGAGAAATCAGCAGACTCACACTCGCACGGTGTAGCTGAGAAAGAGAAAATGCGGTAGAGATGAAATATATACCATTTCAGTACAACAACCTTCAGTTGTAGAGTGGGTGAAAGTGGTGAAAGAGCTCCCAGCAGGGTTGAAGACTGTGAGGGTGACTTCGTAACTAGTTCCACTTCTCAGACGCAAAATTGTGTAGCTATTCTGCTTTGCAGGGAGTCGTCCACTAGTCCCTCCCTCAGCATTGCGGACTCCTCTTCTTCTTCTTGTTTGCTCAGTTAGCTCCCAGCTCACCTCAGATTCATTGGCATCAGTAGGAACGCTCCAGGAGATAGTGATGGTAGTGGGTGATGTCTCAATGATGTTCATGTTAACCGTTGGTTTCTCTGGAATAGGCACTGATGAATGGAGAATCAAAAGTCATTGTCAGAACATTATTCAGCAGTGTTTGGTTCTAACCTAGTGTGACTTGAACTTCCACAGGAGTGCTTGTTGGCATAATCGGAGATATTGCTACAATGGATATGGTGTAGGTCTGTCCATTGGTGAGACCAGTCAGAGTGTAGCTGTTGGTAGAGCCACCATCAATATCCACATCACTGCCTCCAGTGAAGGAGATCCTGTAGCCAGTGGTATATCCCAGTGGAGAGGGAGGAGTCCAGGTCACTGTGATACTAGTGGGACCATCCTGGACGGCTGTCACATCAGTGGGAGCTGATGGACCTGCAGAAGTGAGCTAACATATTACTGAATGACACATTACAGTAGATACCCTGCAATGTGATGGTAGCAGAGGCAGAAGATGGCTTGTTGTTAGACACAGTACACGTGTACTGTCCTGCAGTAGTCACAGTCAGAGTGTGGGTGTACTGTGCAGTCACTGGGTCATTCAACACAGTCTGGGTTCCTTGGGTGACAGTGGTGGAGTCTCTGGTCCAAGTGACAGTGGTAGCAGGTCCACCAGTGGAGATACAGGTGAGGGTACCCTGGTCAGAGTCAAACGTCACTCCTCCAGAGAGCATGACGGCTCCTGCAGTATAAATGAAAGCACTGTGTGGAAGACTCTTACGGGGTTTTGTTATTGTATGATCTATAATTACGGCCAAGTCCATAGTCTAAGATTATAACACCTCATATAAGATTACCCACTAGGGACCTTCACGCAGAAATGTTGATCTGACTTGGGGTGACTGGATAGTTATTAGCTGGGCAAGTAGCAAACTAAGTGAATTACGGCCAAGTCCATAGTCTAAGATTATAACACCTCATATAAGATTAACCTTCATGCAGAATTAATGTTGATCTGACTTGGGGTGACTGGGGAATGTTATTATTATTACGAGCTGTTGTTTTGAAAGGCTCGTGATGGCAGGTGTGGTTGATCGTATGCTGCGGCATAAAGTCTACAATACCTAAGCACTTCCTTTCCATTTCCGCGTGAGGGTCTGGACTACTGAGATGTATCTATGTATATAGCTAGCTACATTTTGCGTTGCAATACATTTTCATTTGGACTGAGTCCCGTGCGCCAACTAGCTAGTCCTTCAAACTCAGCAGCTCAGAGTCAAAATAGTTAATTGATGCTTCCTTTCCCTAATATCTTCAAAAACAATTCCATGGGGTTGTAGTTATTAGTTAGCAAGTAGATAACAAACTGAGTGAATTATACCTCCACTGGCAGTATACAGTCCGATGTAGACTGTGTCTCTCACTGAGATGTCATCATCATCATGGACAGCAAGAGTTGGAATGCTACAGCGATAGATCCCAGTCGGTGAGGTGGGATTGTTGGCACGACGTATATAAGTTCCCTGGGATATACGTTCTATGTAGAGGTCACCCTGACTTCCAGACAGTGGGAGTCTAGGCCCTTCAGGGAAGAACCAGTCTCCACGATGAACACCTTCAGAACTAGTACAACATGTGCTCAGGTCAGTGAGACACTGAACATTGTCACTACCACTGCCCACTTGACTGATGTCCACATAGGAATTGTTGGCCAGAGTCTGGCCCATGAAGGAGAGACGGGGAAAGTTCTGAGAGTGGACCTCCACCAGAGACCAGAGGAGACTCAACAGAGACACAATTCTCATCATTGATCTGTTGCACATCACTCACACCACCGACTGAGCAACTGAAGGTCAATATCAGAGATACCTAACTCAATATGTGCGATCCCACAAGAAAACAAGCCCTCCCCTGCATTTTAAATGTGAGGTTATCCGGCATAAGGAATGCTATCCGTGCCAGTGTTTATGCAAGCTTGTATAACTCAATATTAGGAAACAATAATGGCAACATTCCCTGCGCCCGCATTACCATGCACCAGCAGGAGACACACATCTTCCGCTGTTATTGAATGTCCTCTAGCCATACACATGATCTATTGCTCAAATAGATCAGTCATGGTGTGGTTGGTTTTACCAAACAGCCACCACATGCATGGCAACAGAAGCCCCCCCCCACTGATGAAGCATACCTGTGTAACATCACCGGAGGAAAGGTAACAACACACTTTTGTTCGGCTTACATTGACTTTCCTACTGTTTTGTGTGGATGTCTTTGGAACATTTAAAGAACACGTTGCCACACTGTATATATATATACTTGCTTTGCTAAAATGGCTAAAGTTGCCGGCAAATGGTTCTTTATCAGAATCATTCCAAAGATGACTGCTGATGAAGTCAGCAAACTATTATATGCATTATGGAAAGACCCAAACCCAATTATTCCCACATGAATAATATATAAAGTGATACTTTAATGGAATAGACCACCACACAATGAAACCTAAGAAAGCCTCTAGAGATTTAAGTGACAGTTGCATATGGAGGGTCTTCGCTCTGGTCCGAGATGGTCCTCGTGTCAGAGTAAGGATCATTTTCTGGAGTCTGAGCTAAGACTCTGAACGTTGCCGGGTAGTCGTAATCACCCTCCGAAACTTCAGGGGCCGAGATAATTACTCCGGCCATGCCCCCTGTGCTCCTGTTACGGAGTTGTTGAGACGAAAACTGTCGATATTGTGGATTGTCTGCAATCATCACTGATGATGATGATAGGGTTCGCCCCTCATTTTCAGTGCTAGGAGTAAGCTCTCCTTCAGTAGCAGTGGTGGATGGAGGTGGTGGTAAGGAAGGCAGAGGGTGGTCGTATGAAGGATTTGGTTGGAGTTCAAAAGAGAGTGCAGAGGGGTTGGTGAAGGTTAGACCAGTGGAGACCTCGTCTCCCTGTGAGTGTATCTGTTGTTGGTGGAGTGGGTCTCCACTCATGGGAGCGGTGAAATATGCAGCAAGGCTATGTTAGAGAAAGGATAAGGGGAGAGAAGTGAGGGAGAGAGAGAGGGTAGTTTTGGAAGAAGAGAGAGGGGTAAGTAGGGAAAGAGATGCCGGGAAAACGTCAAATGCAGATTCTCACCTAAAGTTCTTTTTGCGTCTTTTCTGCCTGAGGATGGCTGCAACTCCCAGTGAAAAAGCCACACCTACCAGTGTCAGACACACCACAGTAGCCACTACTGAACCAGCTATGATAGCCGACACTGAATCTCTCCTAGTAATGACAGTCTCATTCAGTGGAATAGTAGCGTTCTCCAAGTCTCCACCTCCATTGATTGTTCTGTTAGTATCACTGCCATTTCCACTGGTAGTGGGGCCTTCTAGTGTCTCAATGTACAGTGGAGATGTGTAGGGACCAGATTCTACTGTTACTGCAGCTATCTGAATGCAATAGACTGTGGAGGGGCAAAGGCCATGCAGAGTGAACGTGGTTTGATTAGCAGAGGAAATTTGAATCTCAAGCCATGTGTAAACTTCTGGTGATGAATCTACAGAAACGGTTTCGGAGTATCGGAGTCGATACCCACGCAGTATTCCGTTCCATTCCGACTCGTCTGGAGGTCTCCATTCCATGACAATGGTGTAGGGGGTGGAGCTATTGGCAGTGAAATTCTGTGGAGGTGACTCTGGAGCTAAATGAAAATAAATAAGTATCACACTCAAAATAACTTACTGAGTTAGGGAATGTGGCAGTGTATTAAATTTAGCAAAAACACATCGCATTTCTAACTGTCACATTCGCTTTAGTTACCAGATTCAATGGTTTGTCCAGTCTGTCTAGCAAATGGCCCGGTGCCATTAACTGTTGAAGCTGCGAGGAATACCTCATATGTAGCATAGCTATGCAGCCTGCTCAGAACCATAGCCTCAGAACTGGAGTTGACACTGTCGAAAATAAAATCGTCATAACCAATTCTGTGATAGCGCAGTGAGTAGAATAGTAAGGGTCCGTTGATGTTGATTGCAGGCGGTCTGTCCCATGTGAGCAGTAGCTGGTGGGGCTGTTGTGACGATAGGAGGAGGTTTTGAGGGGGAGATGATGGAACTGCAGCAGGGAACAATTTGGCAAACACAAACTGCTTTAACTTTGACTAAGTCAGTTGTTCTATCATGAACATATGTAGCTACATACTAATTTGTTGGTGTAGCTACATTGATGGAAAACAGACCGTCCTGATAGGTGGTCACAGAGACTGGGGAACTGAACGGTCCGTATCCCTCTTCATTGCTGGCTCTGACTCGTACTGTGTACTCCACGTGTTCCTCCAGGCTCTCGATCGTTAGTTCGTCCTCTCGGTCTGCTGCTACCTCTGCTGTGCCCGATAGAGGAGCCTCGGGGAACGCGGATTGCTCGTACACAACCTTTGAAGGAAGATATCTAGCTAATGAACCCGTGACCTTTACGATGCATGCTAGTCTTCTGGACCTGATAATACTGCAGTGTGCCATTTCTCTCGTCTGTAGGTACGTCGCTCCAAGTGACACGGATAGCCTGAGAAGAGACGGCGCTGGCAGCCACGTCCCGTGGGGCACCGCTGGGAACTGTGTGTGAGGTGCAGCACGCAATTGAGTGGACTCCGTTCCGTATGGGGTGAGTGAGAATACTTACCTTGTGCTGTCGTTGAAACAAGCTCCAGTAGTAGTACTAGAAATGCTGTAAGGAGGAAGGAGTTTGCCATTCCCCCCCTGGCTCCAAGCGCAGCAAAAAGGTGGGTGGGGCTCGTGCATGTTAATTAAGTTAACCCTTCCCGCACGGAATTCACCTACGCGTGGAGTAACAAAATGGCGAATCGGACTCAGAAAGATGCCAAGTCGATCAAGGGCACCAATCCGCAGTACCTGGTGGAGAAGATCATCAGGACACGGATATACGACTCCAAGTACTGGAAGGAGCAGTGCTTCGGCCTCTCGTGTAAGCCTTTTACAGTGGAAGAGTTTTAGCTAGAGGTGTCGATAAAATTTTTAAAGAGAAAGACTGGATAAAGGTCTTGCCTTCATTTTATGTAACTAATGTGGGCTTGCATGTATCACTCTTTGAAAAGTAGGCATTAGCTACTGTATTACATCCCAAGTTAGCTTTTCGACACCTAAACTCTGAATGCAATTCTCTGCCCGTTGCTTGCTAGATTTCTCCGTGTTTCTCTATTCCACAGCTGAGCTGTTGGTGGACAAGGCCATGGAGCTGGACTCAATAGGAGGAGTGTTTGGAGCCAACATACAGCCGTGCGACTTCATGTGTCTGGTGCTCAAGATGCTGCAGATCCAACCCAGCAAGGACATTGTCATTGAGTTTATCAAGAATCCTGACTACAAGTGAGGGAGGGAGGGAGAGAGAGGAGGGGGGAGGAGAGAGAAAGAAAGAAGGAAAGAGAGAGGGGGAAAGAGAATTCGTGGTGTGCGGTGGGAAAGATTCGAGAGAGTATTAATATTTCGGTATGGTGGGTAGGGATCTCAACGAAAATTTTATTTTCTCTTTCGAAAAGTTCCCTCTATTCGGTGGTTATTATACTGTATAATGTAAAGAGTGTCGTAACCTCCATATTAGATATGTTCGTGTGTTGGGTGCCCTCTATCTGAGACTGGTTGGCACATCAATGGAGATCTACAACTACCTGGAACCTCTGTACAATGACTACCGGAAGCTGAAGATCATGAACAGAAACGGCCAACTGCACCTGAGCCACGTGGACCAGTTTGTGGATGAACTGCTGCACAACGATCGATGCTGCGACATCATATTGCCTCGAATACAGGTGAATTGCTAGATATTCCAATGAAACCAGGAACTTTAGCAAGCATTGACTTTTGTGTTCTTACCCCAACTAACCTCTATACATTTGGCGTGGAGCTAAAATTTGACAGTGATTTTGCATGTAGAACATTATTCTTGTAAAATGTACCAATTCCATAGGGCATGCATTTGTGGGAGTCCAATGTTAAGATGTTTTTCTGGTGTGTGTGGTTCAGAAACGCTACGTTCTGGAGCAGACGGAAGAACTTGAGCCGAGAGTGAGTGCTTTGGACGAAGACCTCGAGGCAGACGACGACGACGACGACGATGAGGAGGAGGAGGAGGAAGAAGAGGAGGAAAAGGTGAGCCTCTTTCTCTCTCCCTCTCTTCTTAAGAGACTGTACAGAGATAATGTTGCACTCTCCCTCCTCCCCATCCTCCTTTTTCCTCTGTTCACAACTCTCTCCTGCTCCCCATTCTCTCCTCCACCCTCTCGTTCCAGTCACCACCTCGGCGTCGATCCCCCAGTCCACAGAGGGAGAGAGAGAAGCCGCGATACAGCAGTCCCAGCAGATCGCCACACCGAAGAAGTAGGAGTAGATCTCCGGCAACGAGAAGAAGGCGGAGCTACTCACGGTCTCCACGGCGACATAGACACAGATCTCCCTCTCCCAGAAGGTACTTTAGGAATGCAAAGCAATTTTCGTGGGAGTTATACATACTCATGGTGTAGGTAGCTTTCATACGCAATAATAACCTCAAACTTCATGTTTTAATCTATCTGGTAGTATGGTTACGTGTTTCTCCCACTCTCTTTCTCTCTCTTATATAGGCATACTAGAAGGCACTCCCGTTCACCATCTCCCAGAGAAAGGGAGAGAGAAAGAGAGAGGGAGAGAGGAGGAAGAGGAAGGGAGAGAGGAAGGGATAGGGACCATGACAAAGAGAGGGAAGAGAAAGAGAGGGAGAGGAATAAGGAAAAGGAGAGGGAGAGGGAAAGAGAGAGGGAGAAGGAGAAGGAGAGGGAAAAAGAGAGGGAGAAGGAGAGGGAGAAAAGGGACAAGGATAGGGACAAGGAGAAAAAGTCTAAGGAAGATGGAAAGTCTGGGAAGGAGAAGAAAAAGAAAAAGAAGAAGGAAAAGGATGCTACCAAGGCCAAGGAGAGCAAAGAGGAGCAGGAAATCAGACAGCAAAACGAACTCAGAGCAAAACTCGGACTCAAACCACTTAGACCGTAAACTTTACACAATTTCCATGTTATTTCTCCGTATACGTGACCCCGTATATTCCGGATGCGTTTTCCGTTGTATTGGGGCGGCGTGTCCGCTGTGTGAAAAGCGGAGGCTTCTCTTTGTCTGTTGCTCCTGTCTTTTGGTCTTGTTCGCGAGATCATGGAGAGCAAGCCTTCGTTTCTCTACCAGGCCGTGAAGGTGGTGTCGCTGTGCATCCTGTGGTACGCCTTCAGCTCCGGTAACAACATCGTCGGCAAGAAAATACTCAATGAGTTCCCTTACCCCATGACCCTCTCCATGGTAAACGGCAGAGTTAGCTATGGTTATAGCCGTAGAGTTAGCCAGTCTTACTCCAAGCAATGGTAGGAGATAAATCTTTTCGTTCTTGGTTAGGGGAATACGAGATAAACCACCAGTTCTGTTCTAAGAATCATCTCCCAAAAGCCTGTTGTAGATATAGTATATACATCTTTTGTATCCGTGTCTCAGGTACACTTGATAGCAATAAACTGTTTCCTGGGACCGTCCCTCAATCTTCTGGACGTCACCGACACACCTCACATCACCAGGAAGTACTACATTCGCCGGATCCTTCCTCTCGCTCTCGGGAAACTGTTTGCTGGTGTCTCCTCTCACATCAGCATCTGGAGAGTCCCTGTTTCTTACGCACACACTGGTTAGTCTGCATGTGGGGGGAAGTACACGAGTGCTATACTCTGAGTCTATACTGCAATGTTGCAGCTAATCTGGATGCAAAGGGGACAGATGTCATTATTAGTGAGGTGTCCAATTTATAGGGTTAAATTGCACGGAAAGACAGTTTCCTGGTGTCCTTTGAGAGATATATTCTTTTGTTTCCCTATGCATACTACTGTAACCATGATGTCGTTGTGATGTCATTCTGGAACCATTCAGTAAAGGTGAGGGAGTGTTGTTTGATGTATGGCCTATTATCTAAGAGTGTGTGCGTGTTATGCTCCAGGCTACGATGCCGCTCTTTACTGTTCTACTGTCAGTCATCATTATGAAGGAAAGATTCACACTCAGTGTAAGTTGGTGCGGATAACTAGTGAAGCACTCCCATCTTTCTACCCATCTCCTCCTTTTCTCCCTTCTCTCTCTCTCTCTCCCTTGTTTCGTCTCCCTCTATCTCCATGTCTCTTCCCCAGGTCTACCTATCTCTACTGCCAATAGTAGGTGGAGTAATGCTGGCAACGGTGACTGAGCTGAGTTTTGACATGATCGGACTACTAGCTGCCCTCTTTTCAACTCTCTGCTTCGCTCTACAAAACATTTACTCAAAAAAGGTATAGAGCATTCAAACCTTCAACAACAGCACTAGGTATATCGGTTAAAGGTCCAATTTTTTTACTTCCGACAACAACATGTGACCAAGTCTCTCTCTGCTCGTTACACAGTGTATGCGTGAGATAAGGGTGCATCATCTGAGGTTGCTCCTGGTAATTAGCCAGCTCTCCTGCCTCTTTCTCTTCCCCATATGGATGTATACTGACGTCTGGCAGATCATTGCCAACCTACACAAGGTATGAGGGCTCTCTGCATCTGTAATATTGATCTTCACATAGTGACTCTCTCTCTCTCTATAAACATTCAGGTCCAGCATCTTGGCTGGTTATTGCTGGGTCTGCCTCTGTCTGGGTTTCTGGCGTTTGCCCAGAACTTTGTGGCGTTCACTGTCATCTCCCTGGTGTCCCCAGTCAGCTACTCTGTGGCCAACGTCACCAAGAGGATCGTGGTGATCAGCACTTCGCTGCTCCTCCTCCAGAACCCAGTCACCCACACCAACGTCTGTGGCATGGGTCTTGCTGTCACTGGCGTTGCTCTATATAACTGGGTGAGTATTGGTATAGGCTTATGCTCCTATAGACATAGAATTACTGAATTTGAATTACTGGATTTGACCACCAGTGTTTTACAACTACGTACAATATCGTGCTTTGTGTGATGTGATACTACCAAATTTAAGTCAGTTTGAGGCAAAATAACCAATGACCGTGCCTGCCAGTATGGTATACAGTATGTTTTACTGTTCTATTGAAAAGATAACATGGGGCTTCTTATGTTTTTTCTCAGGTGAAGTTCAAGCAGACAAGGGAAGGTGCTAAGCCATTGCTCCCCACCCAGACAGATAGTGTGATGGACACCAGTTCCAATATGTATGACGTAGACTTTACCGATTTCAGCTCCCCCATGAAGATCATTTGACCCATGTTCATCACTATTATCATTCATGCTCTATTTTATTTTTGTCGGTTGACAACAAGTGGGAAGGGCTGGAAAGCTAAGAGCTCTGCATGCGCAGAAGCGAGCAAAAGTTTACAGTTTACTGCGCACGTGTACGAACTTTGACCGGGAAAGCGATGAAATTTTGTGTATGTGACTGTGTGTTTGCGTCCTTCGCCAGCAACGGATCTCAACGTTTTGTCTCACTACGCTGATACCGCGACCGTGTGATGATAGCACGTTGTAGTCGATTACGTACAGATCATGTGGCGCTCACGGCCCTGTCTGGCTCGCTCCGTAATTTGCCTCCTCCTCCTCGGCCTCCTTACCTTCCTCCTCAACCTCTTGGGCTCCGAGCTACTCTCAGTCGGCCCGCGAGACGTCCAGATTACCGTCATGGGAGACGATTTTATCGACAGTCCCGGTGGCGGTCCCCACAGAAAACAGCCAGTTTACCTGCCCCCCGAGGGGGAGAAATCCGGCCCCCCTATCGTAGTCTGGTGGACCCCCTTCACGGGGGACCGGAGGGTGGAGAGAAAGTGCACAGACGGGGCGTGTCTCTTCACACATAGTCGTACGGAGCAGAACAATTCTCGCACAAAGGCCTTCATGTATTACGGGACTGACATAGACTGGAGAGATCTCCCTCTGCCTCGACGAAGGGACCAGTTCTGGGCACTGCTTCATGAAGAGTCGCCCAAAAATAACTGGATACTGGCTAGCGAGGACGGCATATCTCTCTTCAACCTCACGGCCACATGCAGTCGTTACTCAGACTACCCACTCACTACCCAGTTCCTGCACAAGTTAGCGTGGCTGGAGACACCGGTAGAGGTCGAGACAAGCCGCAAGAGCTCCGAGGGGCTCGGACTTGTGATGTACCTGCAAAGTGATTGTAATCCTCCGTCCGATCGCGACTCATACGTTCAGGAACTAATGAAGTATGTCACCATCGACTCGTACGGAAAGTGCCTGCATAATAAAGATTTACCAGGGCATCTGGTGGATCCTCTCACCTTCAGTTCCAAAGAAATACTCTCCCTCGTGTCCAAATACAAGTTCACCCTGGCGTTTGAGAATGCACGATGCCACGATTACATCACCGAGAAATTCTGGCGGCCATTGTACGCAGGCTCGGTGCCAATAGTGTTGGGGTCCCCCTCAATCAAAGATTGGGCCCCCACAAATCACTCTGTAATAGTAGCTGATGATTTCTCCAGTCCGAAAGCATTAGCCGAGTATCTCCATTATTTGGACGAAAATGACAAAGAGTACGAGAAATACTTGGAGTACAAGAGGACAGGTATAACCAGCCCCCTTCTACTGGGGCACATGCACGTCCGAAAGTGGGTGGTTGACTATATCGAAGAAGGCATAAATTTTATCGACGGATTCGAGTGCCACGTCTGTGATCAGATTCACCGGAGACTGAGACTCCAGTCTGAAGGTCTAGACCCTCTGCCACTCATAGCCAGTGGAGCTCACTACAACTGTTTGCACCCGAGGCCGGCTCTGAAGGGAGACGGTGAACACTCGGATTGGATGGAGCTGGTCAGCGAGGGAGCAAGAGATGAATTGAGTTACTGGAGGTACGTGGCACGGTGCTCCGCCAGGAAGGGCAGAGCCCTGAGAGACTCGTTGGCCGGTGGAGGGACTAATGACAGCGTGGCTCTGGCACTCTACGACGCTTGCCACGGGGTGGTCGTGGAATGATTTTTATTTTTGTACCAAAGGATCAATTTTTTTAACAATGTGAGAATTAGGGTGAACTGGCGTGCTAAATGTGCTTCGCATGAAAAGCACCACTGTCTATGAAGCTTTGAGAACCGTGTTCAGTGGTATCTTTCAAAATATCATTACCCAAACGTGAAAAGACAAATTAGTGATTCCATAGAGATTTATGAAGACCATGACAATAAGAAACAGTGGTATAATTAGGTTACCGCGAAGAAGGTTACGGCGCATGCGCAGTTGAATGCGCGGCTCTTCGAATCGCGACCTCTCTCAGTGGTCAAACCTGCTGTAAACCTGAAGGAGACGACGACAGATGATGTAACAACTGCCCCCTAACCAAGGCTATATAAATGCGACCTTTGCAGTTTTGCTGGCTAACTGCAGGAGCTAGGCGAGCCGTCTGCGCATCAATAGAACAATAAACACCGTGACCTTGTCCCTGGTGGAGGTGTGGAGACGCGAAAATGGCCGCCCGAGCGTTGGTGCTGGTCCAGCGGATGACTATAGCTAGGAGAGCCTTCTCTCTTTCGGCCTGTGTCCGCCATGAGCGACTGCACGAGGTCCTCCCTCCCCATGAGTCGTTTGCCCGACGCCACATTGGCCCGTCCTCCGAGGACACCCAGGAGATGCTTCGGGTCTGTGGCGTGGAGGTAAGCTAGACGCAGTCTCTGTCTATCGTTCATTCATTCAGGCAGAGGGTAGAAGGAGAGTGTGGACAGAGTGTTCACTGTGGTGTGAAGCATGCAATGCACCATGGTGGTCAGAATCACCTTTGAGCATGCTTCATGCTAAGGAGAGGTCTCCTGTTTTGATTACACTGAATGGTCTATTGCAACAGTTCCTCCACTATGAATACAATGGTGCATTATAAACCTGGATGTTGAATGTGTGAGCTGTCGCTGTGGATGAGAGCAGTAAACTGGTTCTAGCCTGCTTGCCCGACAGTTGTGTTCACTCGTGCAGTTCGACAGGTTTTGGTGCTTTTTGCAGCTCAACAGGTTTTGGCAGCCCTGTGAAATTGGGCACGAAATTTATCACTTTGGACCAGCTGTGTAGCTTTACGCGTGCATGTGCATGTCATGTGACTTTCACGAGAATATTGCATCATTACGCAGCGATGACTGGTCACACAAGAATCTTGAAGTTTGCAAATAGTGTGCGTAAGCTGAACGGACCCCGTTTTAGGGCCTGACACACGTGACAAGAGCGTAATAAGTGCCCATTATAGTTGTTTTCGTCTTCTTGTAACACTGAAGTATGATCAACATAATGTGCTACCGTTGCTATGCATGGGTGATAGGCATGTTCCTTGTGTTCAGTGGTTGTAGTGACGACAAGTGTATTGGTGCCAGGCAAACTGGTGTCCGTGATGGCTAGGTGCGATTTGTTAACATGCAATCATAGTACAGAAAAAGGAGACTACAATAGTATGTAGACACTGGTGTGAGGTATATACAATGTAAGTGGGAGCCCCCTCCAATTCTGACACTCATTACAGCCATAATTTTTGTGTACAAGAAGCTGGTTGGGTTTGGCATTGGCAATCAAAACATTTTTGCAGCTAACGTATTGAGTATTCGTGTGTATCTGTGTTGGTTGTATCCATAGCTATACTAGAGATGAAAGGCATTTCAAACTAATAGAGTGGTTGCTATAGGGATAATATAAAATCATGGGAGTATACGCTGTCTCTAGAAAGCAGCCAAATTTCTTTGATTCGAAGTATGAAACTGGAGACTTCTTATACAGCTGTTGATATGTGTATAAAGGGCCTCATTGACGTATTGACATCACTGACCAATGCGTGTATGCAGCCAATGATTATTGACGTTGGCTCTATAGCTTGACGACTGCAGGTGTTCTGTTAACTATTGGGCACTTAGTAGGAATCCATTGCTCTTAGTTATACAGTTTCCAGTAACTCTGTATGACAGCCTGATGCAGGGCTGGGTTACCCTAGGTACCTAGGTATTCCTGATGAATTGCAGTGTAGCTATGCCTTGTTGATGTACGTACAGTACTACCTGTATCATGTATATACTTGACAGGAATAGTTAAACACTGCTCGGAGTGTAAGTCTACCCAGACAGCATAGTACAGTAGATCTCTCTCATCTCCATACTCCGGAAATATCAGCCCATGCACAAGAATGGTGTATTGAATAGCTTTTGAATTCTCGACTACTTATGTGCAAGCTACCAAGTCTAATGCTTGCTGCTTGAAACTCTCCACCGTCAATAGCTCGTGGCAGGCAAATTGTACATATTATAGCTCCTTCCTTTGTAGTTGCATTACACGCCATGCAGAGACACAACACAAGCATGCATCAAACCGCGGTTTCTGAATAAAAATAAACAACAGCTCTGCGAATCGCGAAACGATTGTCAGAGTACAGCAGGAGGGAGTGTATAATTATACAACTGTGTGGGAAAGGGAAATAGAATCCCCCCACTCTAATGCTGAGTTCCAATTGGACCTCATGTTGCTCTGGCCATAATACTGGTGTTTTGAGATGTATTGGGTTCACTCAAGCTCTTTGCTGTGGTCGCTGTTTACTCCGACCTGGCCTGCTTCCAAACTGGTGTAGAACAGGTTTTGAATGAGTATGTCTGGGTGGGGCCTGTGTTGCATGACAACACGTTGAGAAATACCCCTCGTCAATCTCTCGCTGAAATCACCTGACCTCTGTAATAATATCCTTGTGTGTGTGTTTGTGTGTGTTCCCAGACAATGGAAGAGCTGATATCTAAGACGGTGCCTGAATCCATTCGCTCCACCCAAGAACTCATCCTCGACCCACCTCTGTGTAGGTTTCCCTACTTCTCTCCCTCCTTTTACTCCCTCCTTCCTTCTTCTAGCTAGTATATTATAGCAGGGGCAGAACCGGGTGTCCTTTATAGAGAGGTGTCCTTTATTCAGAGGCTCTTTTTCGGATATTTTCCCCATGTCTTGTAAGCTAGTGAGTGGGCAGTTGCAGACATCAAAGAGTGGCGCCAAAGAACCACATCATTACACATGTATGTAGGTGCCCCTCTATAACAATAATACCACACATAATGCCTGGATACCACTAAATATGCCCTGGATACCACTATACCACTATACTACACACACACACACACATGCATGGATTGGTGTATATATAGGTCATGATGGGATATGAGTGAAGAAGCGTTCCAAACCTTTTGAGGACAAGTTTCAACAAGCACCTATATACATAGCACCGTGTTTGTTTTACGAAGGAAGCAGCTTTCAAGTTTACTGCCTGCAATCTCAGATTTTTCTATCCGACTGCATTTTTTCTTCCATGTGTTTAGTTAATCTGTCGGACGCAGCATTTTTTGAACCTCAGCCTTGCAATCAATCATGTAGCTAACTTGCTATTCAATAATACACTGACTTTGTTGAACTATATACAGTGATCTTGGGTAGTAGTAAATCAATCGTACAAGTGGTTGAGTTGGCCCCACAACTTACAATCCACTGTTCAGCTAATGTCTGTTCTCTCTACATATAAATATACAACTGCAGCAGAGTTGGAGCTAGTGGACCGTATCAGTGACCTGGCCAGCAAGAACGAGGTCCACAGGTCATACATCGGACTGGGTTACTACGACTGCATCACTCCCGCCGTCATCAAGAGAAACGTCATGGAGAATCCCGGCTGGTAGGACACTCGCACTCTCTCTCGCCTCTCGTGTTTAGTGGGGGATTTTAGAAGGGGGCCAACTCTACGAAGGTCAGTAAATTTTACCCCATGTCCCACCACCCTCCCCAGGATCACTCCATACACCCCGTACCAGGCAGAGCTGGCCCAGGGCAGGCTCGAGTGCCTCATGAATTATCAGACAATGGTGTGTGACCTGTCCGCCATGGACGTTGCCAACGCCTCTCTACTGGACGAGGCCACTGCTGCTGCTGAGGCCATGGCACTCTGCTTCAGGTATATACATACCTGGATGGAAGGTGGGGGGTGGAGGGTGACTTCTGGTTTTTCTTTCTTTTCTATTATCTATATCTAGCTATGGCTAGTGTGCTATAAACATACTTTTCATATATTAATACCTTACAACTGGAAACTTGCCTTTTTTTGAGCCTTACCTCGAATATGATAGTATGCAGTAGCATACTGTACTTACAAACCTTGAAACCTCCACAGGTAAACACACTTTTGATGTTCCGTACCACATACGTTTTTGATTGATATACCACTCTTAACCTCCTGCCAGATCGGATGCCTTTATGTGGTTGTGAAGCCGAAAAGAATGCCTCTTCCGCGGCTTCACTTATTAGAGAGGCTTCCCTGTTTCAAATAGAGGGCTTTGTGAATCCTTACTCCACCGAACATCTTTCTCCTGCCTAAACATTTCCCTCTCTCTCTCTCCCTCTCTCTCTCTCACTGCAGGCAGTTTAAGGATAACGAGCACAACGTGTTCTACGTGGACCGACACGTCCACCCACACTCCCTGGCCGTCATCCAGACACGAGCCAACCATCTCGGAGTGAAGACGGTGGTCGACGATTTCCACAATTTCGATTTCTCCACAGGGACGGTGTGCGGCGTCCTCGTCCAGTACCCCAATACTGACGGACAGATCAACGACTTCACCGAAATGATTGAAAAAGCTCACGAAAATAAGGTCCGTGGAGGTCTCTAGCCAAATTACACCATCGTAGCACTAATTCTTTGGGAAACTTTTGATTTGGTAGAATTGTTTGTGATGGTATTGCAGACTTTGAGCTTAGCCTATACTGAGGTGCCCTGGTAGCTCAGTGGTAGAGTCCTCGCCTATAGCTAGAGAACTCTGGATTCGCCTAGTAGTGGGTTTAAGTCAAACCTCAGAGGGGGCAGCTTTTTTCCTTTGCTTTGCCTTAACCTCGTCGATAGCACATGTGTGTGGGAATCAATTTGCAGGTGCTGGTGGCGATGGCTACCGACCTGTTGACTCTGACTCTCCTGAAACCTCCTGGTGATCTGGGGGCCGACATTGCCCTCGGCAGCTCTCAGAGGCTGGGCGTTCCCATGGGTCAGTCACACACACACACACACTCGCTCGAATTTAACACGGGTCACCGAGTCTTAGTTGATTTTCGAATGCCTTTGATTTTGGCACTTCCATGAATTTTTCATTTGTGGGAAAAGTGGTAGTGATCAGCTTGCTAATCCTCTCTGTGTTGGTAAAACATTATGAAAATATAGTTCCCTATGATGGAAACTCTGAGTAAAGGACACTTCTCTCTAAAAAGGACGATTTTTTGGTCCCAGATTTTATATATTTTCAGGTTCAACTGTGTTGCTATAAACTGTTTGTTAGGAAGACTTGTGTCCTCATATTATTGCAGGTTTTGGCGGACCGCATGCGGGCTTCTTTGCCGTCAAGAAACCTCTGCTCAAGTCAATGCCGGGGAGAATAGTTGGTCGGACTTGGTACGTTTGAAATTCAGGGGAGAATTGGGCTAGTTAATAATGGCCGTATAGCACACACTACATGTACATAGACAGTGCATGTAGTGGTGACTGAAGTACCGTACGCCCGTACAACGTGTGCCTTCATTTTCAATGCATGTGTCGAAAACGAGGTAGCAATGCAGGGGCAAAGCAAACAAGTCAACTACACCCTGGACGGCTCTTTTTCAAGAGCTGCCTGTGATAAGCTATTCTACACATAGAGGAGCAAAGTTCGAGGATCGCTAATCCCATTTGTTGAAATGTGGCATACATTGTTGTGCCTTCCTTCCTTTTGCCTTTCTTTCCTCTCTCCTATGCATACATGTCTGCCCCTCTGCTCTCTCCTATGCATGTCTCAACAACTTGGTAGCGATGTAGAAAGGCAAGGCATACACGTCTGCCCCTCTCCTCTCTCCTATGCATGTCTCAACAACTTGGTAGCGATGTAGAAAGGCAAGGCATACACGTCTGCCCCTCTCCTCTCTCCTATGCATGTCTCAACAACTTGGTAGCGATGTAGAAAGGCAAGGCATACACGTCTGCCCCTCTCCTCTCTCCTATGCATGTCTCAACAACTTGGTAGCGAGGTAGAAAGGCAAGGCATACATGTCTGCCCCTCTCCTCTCTCCTATGCATGTCTCAACAACTTGGTAGCGATGTAGAAAGGCAAGGCATACTCGTCTGCCCCTCTCCTCTCTCCTATGCATGTCTCAACAACTTGGTAGCGAGGTAGAAAGGCAAGGCATACTCGTCTGCCCCTCTCCTCTCTCCTATGCATGTCTCAACAACTTGGTAGCGATGTAGAAAGGCAAGGCATACTCGTCTGCCCCTCTCCTCTCTCCTATGCATGTCTCAACAACTTGGTAGCGAGGTAGAAAGGCAAGGCATACTCGTCTGCCCCTCTCCTCTCTCCTATGCATGTCTCAACAACTTGGTAGCGATGTAGAAAGGCAAGGCATACTCGTCTGCCCCTCTCCTCTCTCCTATGCATGTCTCAACAACTTGGTAGCGAGGTAGAAAGGCATGGTATACTCGTCTGCCCCTCTCCTCTCTCCTATGCATGTCTCAACAACTTGGTAGCGAGGTAGAAAGGCAAGGTATACTCGTCTGCCCCTCTCCTCTCTCCTATGCATGTCTCAACAACTTGGTAGCGAGGTAGAAAGGCATGGTATACTCGTCTGCCCTCTCCTCTCTCCTATGCATGTCTCAACAACTTGGTAGCGAGTGTAGAAAGGCAAGGTATACTCGTCTGCCCCTCTCCTCTCTCCTATGCATGTCTCAACAACTTGGTAGCGAGGTAGAAAGGCAAGGTATACTCGTCTGCCCCTCTCCTCTCTCCTATGCATGTCTCAACAACTTGGTAGCGAGGTAGAAAGGCAAGGTATACACGTCTGCCCCTCTCCTCTCTCCTATGCATGTCTCAACAACTTGGTAGCGAGGTAGAAAGGCAAGGTATACTCGTCTGCCCCTCTCTTCCTACATTCTATGTCTCTACAGGGACCACCAGTCAATGCCGACCCATCGACTGTGTCTCCAGACCAGGGAACAGCAGATCAGGAAGGACAAGGCAACCAGCAATATCTGCACCGCTCAGGCTCTCCTGGCCAACATGTCGGCCCTGTACACCATCTACCACGGACCAGAGGGCCTCAGAGATATCGCCTATCGCATTCACAGGAGTACTCTTGTTCTGGCTGAAGGTTAGATAGGGCGGAAGGGGAGGAGGGGAGGGGGAAGATATGGCGAGAGAAAGATTGTTTATATTTACATTAATGGGTATATAAATTTCTCAAATCACCAAATTAAAACCATTGCCAAGTCCCCTGCAATATGAGAGGATAAATACGGTAAGAGGAGGAGGAGGAGGGAGGTGGGGTAGAAGAAAGGGAAGAGGAGGTTGCTAAAAAAGGACGAGGTTTTCATACAGATTTGGCATAGGAGCCTTCAGTCAAAGCCTCTTTGTTCTAATTATCCCACACTCTCCTCTCCTCTAATGTACAATCACCAGATGTCCCTCTCTTTGAAGTTCTGCACGTGTTTGGTATGCTTTGTCAATATATAAACATGTACATATGTATTGCTATGGTCATGGCAATATCGTGTAGTCACAGTCCTTTACATATGGCTATAGTCATATTTATATTGCTGTGGTCCTTTGTATGTGTGCATGTTGCTAATGGTTCAGTCTTTTGCTAGTCCATTAACACATGTATTATAGGCCATTGTCGATCTAAACGTGTACAATATAACGTAGTACGTTGACCGTTTCTTTGATAGTGATGGTATATATGTACATAGGTTGATAGTGTTGTACTCTGTTGCAGCTCTCAGGAGACAGGGACATATCATTCATCTTGGCCCCTTCTTTGACACCATCAAGGTACGTACGTAATATTTAGTACACAATCCTGCATGCGTGAAGGGCGAATTCTATCAAATATACATACGTACCAGTACAGTTGTACACACGGGACTCCTCCCACACACTTTATCTTGGTCCCAAACCCCAAAATGCACCATTAGAGAATATTTTATCGATTTTCTCTATTGTAAGCATGATGATGAAGCTCCCCCACTCCCTCTCCTCCTCCTCCCCCTCCCTATCACTCCCCCTCCACAGGTGACGTGTAATTCTCACGTGGCCGACAGACTGAAGGTTCTGAGAAGAGCTCGAGAAAAGAAGATCAACCTCAGAATCAGCGATGAAGACGACGTAAGCTTTTATCGATTAACAAATTAAAATGAAAAAGAGTGAGGACTAGAGAAAGATTTTCTTCTCTCTTCCCTCCCTCTCCCTCTTCTGCCTCACTTCCTCCCCTCTCCTCCCTCAACCCTCTCTCCTCCTCCTGTTCTCCAATCTCCATGTCTCGCATGCAGTTGGGAGTGTCACTGGACGAGACGGTCACAGCCAGTGACGTCAGTGACCTCATGTGGATCTTTGGCTGCACCAGAGAAACACAGGTGGGGGGATTTTACGTAGAAATGTCAGTCTATAAACTGATTTGAAAAAGGTTAGATTTACAGTACACAATTTCTCATACAGTGGAGTCCCATATGTGTACGTGTGTCGTGTGTCTGTGTGTGTAGGACTCCATAGTTGCCAGTGCTCCGGAAGACATCACTGAAGGCTCGTTCCTCGACTCAGAGTATCAGCGGACCTCTCAGTACCTCAGCCACCCTGTCTTCAACAAGTACATGTTCTACACCACACCTTTTACTTACGTACTGTACCGCCCATTGCTCTGGATGCACGATCAATAAGAACTTGCTTCTTTTGCACACACATCGTAGTCTCTGGCTCTGCCCAAGTGTTCTGGGAGCGTCATCAGTGGCTATTGCGTATTTTGATAGAGACGCAGTTATTTACAAGCTGGACTATAATATGTACTGTACTGTATGTATACATGTGTGCAGGTACCATTCTGAGACAGCTCTGCTGCGCTACATGAAACAACTGGAGAACCTTGACCTTTCTCTGGCCCACTCCATGATACCCCTGGTCAGTTTGACACACACACATCAGACCCACTGCGAAAATCATCCGTGATACGTACGCTGTGGCAGTCAACATATTATTATTTGCCAATGTTTCGTAACGCTTCCATAGACACTGTGTGTAACTAATAATTTTCGTGGCAAAAAAACTTCGTATCACACGCGAAAATTCATGGAAGAAAGTACTGAACGTGCGTGGCGCACTGGAAACGAGGTATTATTTGTGAGAAAACACTTTCGTAAATTCGTATAATCTGTGAATATCGCACCCAATTGACCGCCTCCTCCCCTCCTCCGCAGGGCTCCTGTACGATGAAGTTGAACGCCACGAGTGAGCTGCTGCCCATCTCCATGCCAGAGTTTGCCTCTCTCCACCCGTTTGCCCCCGAGGAACAGAGTGTTGGCTACCAGGAGATGCTGGAGGAGCTGGACCGGGACCTCTGCGAGATCACCGGCTACGACAAGTTCAGTTTCCAGCCAAACAGGTTTGTTTCATGACAAACACGTTTTTTTTCAGGATTAATTGACACAGTGCAGCACCTTTTGAGGCGATTCATAGCATTTCACAACGTGTGTATTGTGTCGAGCCGGTGCTAATTTCAGGCCATGGGAAGAGTTATGATCGTGGTTTTGCTAACGAAGGTCGAAGGTCACGTAAGAACAGACGTAACAAATCATATACATTGTTAATAAAAAACATTGGTTTTTTGTAAATGCTATAAGGGAACCTATAGGCTAGTAGGTTAGATTGAAACAATAATGTAAACCATGATTTACGTATTATAACCAGTATGTATGGAGAGTAGGTCACTGATGAAAGGGAGTGATTGCTCACTGTTACATAACCTCCTCCGTTCAGTGGTGCTCAGGGAGAGTTTGCAGGTCTGTGTGCCATCATGGCCTACCACAGAGACAGAGACGAACAGCACAGGAAGGTAACCAACCATCTCCCCCACCCCCCTCTCTCTCTCTCTCTCTCTCTCTCTGTCGTATATACCCACACTACCATCTCTCACTATTGTGGAGAACCATACTTATATTACTACACTCTGTGGGAAATATAGTTTTTGCCACCCCAGTTCTGAGGTGTTCTATCAAGATATCAACAAGGTCTTGCTTTATATATCACAACGAGAATAAACGTGTTCATGAAGTAGTGGGTACCAAGTTACAAGCATGTGGTAAAAATCTCATATTGCACGGGCAGGCTTTTTGTAGCATATTTCAAGAACTAGCGTTCATTAAATCTCCACATACAAGACTCGCTTTGCAAATGCTTTACATACACTCAATGTGCTACCCCATGTTTTGCTAATTGTGCCCATTCAATGCCCGAGTGCAGCTGGCCGCAACTGCCCCTCAATAGTCGAAAGGGTCTGGCGGAACCAGCCCCTGTGGCCTAATGGAGAAGGCACTGGTCTCCTAAACCAGGGATTGTGGGTTCGAGTCCCACCAGGGGTACTTCCCAATACCTAGTTTTTTCTTCCTTTTTTTCCTCTGCTTCCATCAATTGTTTGTGTTCATCATCTAGTTTTTTGAGGTGTTTGTTACTGTCGTATATGAAGTGTTTTTCCATTTTTGCTCTATTTTTTCTCATCCCACGTAAATAATGACTCTACTCTCCTCTCTCTGTGTGTGTGTGTCTGCAGGTATGTTTGATACCCGAGTCAGCCCATGGGACCAACTGCGGCCAGTGCTCAGATGGCAGGACTGAATGTGGTCTATATTCCCACTGACAAGAAGACTGGGATGGTCAGCATTGAGGACTTCAAGATTAAGGTCTGTCGGAGGAGTTATGAAGGTTCAGAGATGATTAACATTTCTGTTTAATGTTTCTCATCCACTATGTTGCTCTGATTATCACGTGACTGTCATGTGACTGTCAGGTGGAGGAGACTCGTAAGGACCTTGCGGCGGTCATGGTGACGTATCCCTCCACGTACGGTGTGTTTGAAGAGACTATTGTGGACCTGTGTGACATGGTGCACCACTATGGCGGACAGGTGAGTGGGTACTAGGGACTGGGGTACAATACTGTACTGTTTCTTCACTGAGAACACGTTTCTTACAGGGAATGTGTCACATAAGGGTTAAATTTAGAAATGTTACTAAGAATAAATGTGACATGGTGCACCACTATGGCGGACAGGTGGGTGGGTAGTAGGGACTGGGGCACAATACTGTACTGTTTCTTCACAGAGAACACGTTTCTTACAGGGAATGTGTCGCATAAGGGTTAAATTTAGAAATGTTACTAAGAATAAATGTGACATGGTGCACCACTATGGCGGACAGGTGAGTGGGTACTAGGGACTGGGGTACAATACTGTACTGTTTCTTCACTGAGAACACGTTTCTTACAGGGAATGTGTCACATAAGGGTTAAATTTAGAAATGTTACTAAGAATAAATGTGACATGGTGCACCACTATGGCGGACAGGTGGGTGGGTAGTAGGGACTGGGGCACAATACTGTACTGTTTCTTCACAGAGAACACGTTTCTTACAGGGAATGTGTCACATAAGGGTTAAATTTAGAAATGTTACTAAGAATAAATGTGACATGGTGCACCACTATGGCGGACAGGTGGGTGGGTAGTAGGGACTGGGGTACAATACTGTACTGTTTCTTCACAGAGAACACGTTTCTTACAGGGAATGTGTCACATAAGGGTTAAATTTAGAAATGTTACTAAGAATAAATGTGACATGGTGCACCACTATGGCGGACAGGTGGGTGGGTACTAGGGACTGGGGCACAATACTGTACTGTTTCTTCACAGAGAACACGTTTCTTACAGGGAATGTGTCACATAAGGGTTAAATTTAGAAATGTTACTAAGATTAAATGTGACATGGTGCACCACTATGGCGGACAGGTGAGTGGGTACTAGGGACTGGGGCACAATACTGTACTGTTTCTTCACTGAGAACTTTCAAAGGACATTTCTTAAAGGGAATGTGTCAGTACATATGGGCTAAATTTAGAAATGTTACTAAGGGATAAAATGAAACAACAGGCCCCAGTGCAAGAATGCAGTTACGTTTCTGTTTTTTGTAACAGTTTCTAAATTTGCCTTTAAATACTGCCACGTTCCCCTTTTGGGACCGTCTAAATTTGTTGCTACGGGGCTGATTGTCCCCCAGCAATAAAAATCTGGAGCTATAGCTCTGCGCATTATTCTGTTCCCCTGGTGTCGAGGTCAGAGACATTCCACTGTGTAACAGGAATGCAGCTATCGCTAGAGGCACAGCAGCAGACAGGCAGACACAGACAGCTAGGAGAGAGGCATTGAGGCAGTGATAACAATAGAGCCAGTGTAGCTGGCGCGCGGTGGCCCTGGGTAGAGCTAGAGACAGGAAAAGCAGCGTCGGTATAGGCTGACTGTGGTCTGATAACACAGTCCCCTGGGACCAAGTCTCAGGCCAGCCACAGATGGGACTCTGGCCACACTGTGTAAATGATAGAGTGTCACGATTGTTTCTAGATAACGTGTCCTGTTGAACCCAGACCCCTCTTTCTGGTCTTCTTCTGTCTGCAGCACTCTTAATTTCTGTGGATAATAGGGGTTTCCCCTTATGTGCACAGCGACAGCACACTTTGTGATTTTTTTGGCCTGAATTATGCAAAATAGTACTGCATTAATTGTAGTGGTGTGTGACTAGTGTTTGAGGCAACGTAGCTCAGTTGATAATCACCTGGTTCAATCCTCACTCTCTGCGACTTTTTCCTTGCTTTTTTTCTCCACGCATTATTGATGCATCAACGCGCCAGACTTACATAATTAACTGTTGCACTCACGACCTTAACGCAGGTGTATGTGGATGGAGCCAACCTGAATGCCCAGGTGGGGCTGTGCAGACCAGGAGACTATGGAGGAGATGTTTCCCACCTCAACCTCCACAAGACCTTTTGTATCCCTCACGGAGGAGGCGGGCCCGGGATGGGACCCATTGGAGTGTGAGTCTCTGCTTCAGTGAAGAGCGCTCCTATTATAGACTCTTTGCTCATCTATCCCCCTCTCGTCTCCTATCTTCTCTCCTTCTTTCCTTCCTTCTTTCTACCATCTCTCTCTCACTCACCCTCTCTCTCTCCTCTTCCTGCTCCTCCTCCCTGTCCTCCCCCCTCCCCCTCTCAGTAAGGCACACTTGGCTCAGTACCTTCCTTCTCACCCCATCACCTCCACGTCCTCTGACCCTGCAAAAAGGTATTCTAACTATTGCACACACATATGTAAACCGAGAAGTTGCATTGGCTCATTTGGACCAACTTTTGTATTTATGAATGAAGAAGGTCTCCTTCTACTACGTATTTACTCCCACACAATGCATGCAACTCTGTCAGTGTCATGATTTCATCAATTAGCGTCACTCCGCACACGCATGCCGAGGGTTGTACATACTCTCCCTGCAGGCTACCCCCTCCGGGTCCAAATGTTCCTCATTTGAGTGGCCAAGGTTGGAAGATCGAATCACTATGCTTTCCCTTAATCAATCACAAAGCCCCATCTCTTCTCAATTTTATATATGCTTATTGTTCCTGCATGTGTCTGTATACACATGATCGTTCACCCCCCCCCTCCCTGTCAGTCTGGGCACGGTGTCAGCAGCGGCGTGGGGCTCGGCCTCCATTCTCCCCATCTCCTGGGCCTACATCAAACTCATGGGCCCACAAGGTCTCCGCTCTGCCTCCGAGGTACATACATACCTATAGAGCCATCGTTTTTCACAGCAGTTTTTTTGGTGAATAATTTCCTCAAACATTATAATAGTTGGGAGAGAAAATAGTGAATTTTTTAATTGCCAACTTGGTTTATTGCATCCGACAAAAATCTTACCGCCTTTAGCCAGTTTGTAGTTCGTGTTCGATTTCGGCTGCCTTTTCTGTCTTGCATGTGTATGTACGCCCAGGGACGCACAACATCACCTCTTTTTAGATATTCGTTCTGGTTCCTCGTGCATTGGACTTAAAGCAGGAACAAGAAGTACAAGATCCCTGCACATCCCTGCATATCCCTGTAGTACATAGCTCTCCCCCACTCATATCACCTGCCTTTTATAGACCAACAAATTGCACTTTAATTGCTCTGAATTATATTCACGCTCTGCGGATGGACTCATACATTATGTAGGTATCCACATTGTCATGTCTGGTGTGTTAATTGTATGCACAATGTGTGTCGTCCCCCCCAAGAAAACCAGTTAAGAACTCGGCTGAACTTGGCTAATTATGTAGGTCTTTAGCTACTGCTCCAGCTCGAGCACTAGTGTCAATCTTTGAACACTGCCTATAGAGCTGAGTGGCATGGGTTTAACCCTAGCAAGCCACGGACATATAAATATGTCCAGAACCTCCATAAACCCATAAGAATTTATTTGGGGCTATAATACTAAGCGTAAATATGTTATACATCAATTTCTGCTTGTTTAAGGAGATACCCATGGCCTCCAAAGTGTTAAGTCCCACCAAAAACACTGTTATCAGTTTTTCCCCTGGGTCTCTTCATTGCCTTCCTTTCATATGTGCGTACACCTTACTTCTGATTCATGCACTTGTTACTTGGAAGCTAACTTGCTGCTTTTTTGGTACACAGAAATTACTCAATGTTGTAGCTCTAAACAATAGTGACCCTAATAGTAATCTCTCTCTCTCCCACACAATGCATGCAACTCTGTCAGTGTCATTATTTCATCAAATAGCGCCACTCCGCACGCATGCCGAGGGTTGTACCTACTCTCCCTCCGGGTCAAATGAGGCCTAATTGGATTAGCGACACGTAGCTATGCCGTGGGGTAGTGGACTGGAATGTACATGACCTCACACAGGTCTTGTGGCCTCTTAACATCTTTACCTGCTGGCTGGGGCGTTCTGTTGATGAAGGCTCTTTTACTGTAAGGCATTGTAGATGGAAAAGGATCATGGCTTTGGAATCACTTTTCTAACTAAAGTTTGCTCTAAGTGCCTTTATGCACGACCTTAACTGTCCTGTGTGTCCTTAAGAGTTTTGAAGAGTTTTGAAAGTTTTGAAGAGTTTTGAAGAGTTTGTACTACTTCGATTTTTCGTATTGTACAGATCAGTAGAAAATCTGCCTGACATTATGTGTGTGGATGGCACTAATAATACCCCCCTCTTTAGGTTGCCATACTGAATGCCAATTACATGGCTGCAAGACTCAAAGACCACTATAAGATCCTCTTCAGAGGAGCACATGGTAAGATATACTGCAGTCCACACCATCTGTGATAGTTTGGATGTACACGGGCGCTATATAGCAATCCTCGAAAAACTTTTTCTACCAACGACACTCATTAATTTGGAAGTTAGGATGGAGAGAGCTGACAGCTAAATCTGTGACCCATCACTGCATGAACAATTATAATAGAATGCATGACCGAATGTGTTGTAGCAAGGATTATGGAAGAATCGAAGTGGTATGCAGTAGGCGCTGTATAAACAGCTTTCAGTTGTATAATACCGCTACTACTCATTCTCAACTCCTAATAACTACTATATACTACCATGGAACCCTACTACCGTCTGTGTACTATAATAATAATATGGAGAGGTCAAGAGAAAGTGTTGTTGCTTCCTTTTTGAAAGTCGGCAATTGTATGTGTCTGTGGGTGTGCTTCGCCAAATTTTGACCACACTGCCACTATTATACCATAGTTTGCATTGGAACGCCATACCCATTATATAGTAGGTGTATATGTATGTGTATTAACTGTATATAAAGTGTCTCCTGGAACAGTATTAATGGCGACAGAGTGTGTTAGGGAAAACCCGGTATATACAGGTACCCGGCACTGCAATAGACATTAGCATAGTATGTTTTCATTGGTGAGTAATTGGCGCGTGCAGCTACACAAACAGACCAGAGGACGGGCCTCTCCTGGACAAACAACTGGGCCAGGGCTCACATTACCTCAGTTGTGTTAATGGGACGAGTAATGTACTCGGAAAATTGATATCCTCCATCTCCCACACACACACACACTGACTAACTGACTGTCTTGTATGTTATGTAGCCGGCTCTCTTATCTCTTCTCTCTCTCTCTCTCTTTCCCCACCAGCACCATAATCGTTTGTGGAAACCTGAACTGCAATTTGTTGTTTTTCACAGTTGATGCTACGAAAACCCCCCTGTGGTTTATCCCACACTGCCCTCTTGCTCTTTATATATCTATCTATCTCTCTCTTATAATGTTTTCCACAAAATTTTACTGCAGAAGCATATAATTTTTGTCTCGGTGTCTTGTAAATCTAACACTTTCTCCACCCCATTTCTCAGGGTTCAATGCACACGAGTTCATTCTGGATACGAGAGATTTCAAGACCTCTGCAAACGTGGACTCCATCGACATCACAAAGAGACTGCAGGACTACAGTCTCCACGCACCCACCGTCTCGTGGCCTGTGAGCAACACCCTCATGTTGGAGCCGACAGAGAGCGAGGACAGGGAGATGATGGACAACTACTGCGATGCCCTCATTTGTGAGTAGAGGACTCTACACTCGCTCTTTGTTTCTCCCCCCTTCCCAAAAATGTTTATTACAGAGTGCACATAGTCATTACGGTAATTGCTACTATATTTAGCTGTTTGCGTAGGAAAACTGCCCATGTCTTGGAATCCAACTGCATTTGTGTAGGAGAAGGGAGGAGAGAGTATTGAAAGAGGCAAGGAAGGGGGTTGAGAGAAAATAATCTCACATGACACCTGGTCTTATGTACACTTTAGCCATCCCATCACAATGCAACCTACCTGGCCCTCTGAATACTCTCCAGCACAGCCTTTCACACACACAGTCTTGTCACAATTCAAACACACTGTGTTGTCAGTTGTCACAGTAGTATGGTCCTTGGTCCTCTAGTGTTATTACAGCCTTTAGGGTTAGTGAAGTAGAATAGAGCTGAGCCATGCTCCTCATGGACTGGTCACTGGCAGTCCAGAGTCTGTAGTAATGATGTTTGTAGTGGACGTCTGCCCACTGGAACTCTTGTCAACAGCTTGAGGAATTGCCATTATGCCCCAGTTTGCATAGCGGTGGCTAAAGCCCAGCTGATCCCTGAGGCTGTCTAGCTAGCTGCTTGGCTGCAGTGCTGTCTTTTCCTTGCCTCCCACACTCCCCCAACATGTGCCTATGTACATACACACACCTCAAATATACTCTGTGCTTATACGGGCTTCACTCCCTAGTTTCTGCTCTTGCAACATGTGATGACCATAATACGTAATGCTGGAAACGCTAAAGTACCACTGTGCTTAGTGTAAATGGCAGCGATATTAATGGCTGCCAATACTTATGGGTATAGCTGCATGCAGACAGACGAGACAGGAGAGTTTTCTGAAGGCGCATTTTATAACGCAGCAACTTGAACTCTGAGGCCTATATATAGGTTCAGAGGGACTGGGAGTGCACTGTCCTGGCTTCACAACACCCCTAGAGCTGCTGACAGGGTGTATAGTGGAAAGCGGCTCTTTCTGATTTATCTGCTGTATCTTGGGGGTGCGCAGATCACCCAGATACCCACCGAATGATTAATCTTCTCCCCTCTTTGTGTGCAGCAATCAGAGAAGAAATCCGGGAGATCGAAGATGGGAAATACAGCAAGGACAACAACGTCATAAAGGTGGGTCAATCTTTCCTCCAGTAACCTTATTATTGTTGGTCTAATCATGACATTATCATTCAGGGAGCACCCCACACAATGAAGGTGGTCACAGCAGACGACTGGGACAGGCCTTACTCTAGAACAAAGGCTGCCTTTCCCGCGGTGAGTTTCACACACTAACTAGGTCTCTATGATGACGACAATTTTTGGCAAGTGGCAAATTTACAAAACAGGACATAATATGTACAGAATGTGAAATTGTAAACTGTGGAATGATTTAGTCATCAAATTCAATCCTTTATTCTACCTATCCCCAAGATTGTGAAACTACTGGTTAGGTTCTTATCTGGGAAAAGTGTCTCAAACAGAAAAGCAACATCCATGCAGCGAATTGCAAAGCTGACTGGCTGAACCAACATCACTTCCATTGAACAAGTATCGGGCAGATCTCGAACAAGAAGAACTCGGCTTCAGGAGGCCTTGTTACATCCACTCTTCGATAATGTGGTAGCTACGTACGTATGTAGCTTTCTCTCGACCAAACAGTCCTGTGCCCATAAATGGAGGTTGAGGCTGTTTAGGTCTTTCTAAGACTCGTGCAGCGTGGAAGATTAGTGTCCACAATTTGACCAGTGTGCTCTCATCCGTGCTAACATGTTTTCATTGCTACAAATTGGCTGTGTATACAGAAGTGGACAGATCAAATGCACACTAGGGGCCTGGAGCTGTATGTGCATACATACATCATAGCCAGAGTTTTGATTGCTGCTCGTCCACCATGTCCACTCCATAGCTATGTGGAGGACTGGAGTGTGAATTACTTGAAATTCACTTTTGTATCGTACTACGCTACATATCGCTTCATTGCTTCATTGCTTTTCTCTGTAGGAGCTCACTCACTCACGCTCCCTCCCCCTCCCTAATCCTACTATATACACTTAGACATGGCTCTCTCTCCTCTTCTCTTTACTGCTAACAATTTACAAAGCTTAATAGTTTTCGAGAGCTGTCTGGAAGTCATCCATATGTGACACACAACCTATAGCTGATTTTTCCATTCTTTTCTTCCCAAAAATCACAGATTTATCTCTCTCTCTCTCTCTCCTACCCAGCAATATATTATGCATGTTTGAATTTTTGCAGCCAAATGGTATATACCTTTTCCCAGAGCAGGTCACGTAATAGCTTTCACAGGACATCAACTGTTATGGGAACATCCCTGTGGCTAAATAGTGGCCTAGTGTGATGCCCCCACTGGCGTGTGGTATATACACAGGGAAACTATCACAGAGATCAGCTCAGCGTAGTATATTCTGCAGTAGAACTGCCGTAGTAGTGATAGGCATCAGTGAACATCTGTAGGGCAGCCCAGCATGGAGTGACCTTAGTGTACGTGACCACTGGCCACTCGTGCCCTAGACTTTCAAACACTAGGGAGTTTCAGCTCTGTACAAATGGCAGACCTTCTTCCTTTGCAACTTTTGCCTTTGGGGCCCAAACTTATATTCAGCGATGAATTTTCCCTTCCCTTGCCATAATAATAGATTATAGAAATGTAAACTGCATTGCCTTTCCACATTAATGTAGTGTCTATTTTCTCTGCTAGGTAATTAATATGCTCATTGAATGACGTAATAGCAATATTTGTGGTGCAGAGAGACTAGTTTGGTGTGTTGTGTGATGGTTTTATATAGGGGGGAGGCTTACCTTTGCTCATTGGTTTTGCTAATGCAAATTGTTGACGTTTGTATATGAAAAATCCTTGTCTGTTTACAGTCATGGTTGCTTCCAGTGAACAAAGTGTGGCCTGGTAGTGCCAGACAGGAAGAGATACACGGAGACAGAAATGTGGTCGCCACTCTCTATGAAGCTCTCTCGACTGTCAAGAAAAAGTGACTTCACACCCAGGAAAAATCTACCTGTGTTGTCGTAATTGTTTGTCCTAACATTGTATACTGTAAACTTCATTGTGAAGTCATTATAATAACAATGTGTCATCATTATACAGTGCATTAAATTATAACACAACTCGCACTGGATATATAATATATACAATAGTTGCAAAAATGTTTTTCGTTAATAATAATACAGTAGGTGCGAAATAATACATTTAGTGGGTAGTTGGGCTTGCAAGAAGTGATTCATGCAAAATTGAATGAATACAAAAACATTCAGAGATAAGGGTGAATTCAGACTATAACAAGACTTAGTGGTGATCATCAAAAAAACAGCGTCATAGTTTCCAGAAATTATAATACAGACAATAGTGATAGTGATAGAGAAAATGATGAGACTTAGCTCTTGAGCAAATTGGAGATGGTGAAATTGCACTTGTTGGCCAGATCGACCCCGGGTCCTCCAGACTCTGCGCTGTGTCCAAATACGGGGCTCGAGCACTCGGCAGTGACGGGATAGGGATAGGCGACTGCTGCAGCCGCTACAGAAAACGGAGGGTGGCTGGCGTAGGTGTCCATCGGGGAGGCGCATGTCGTTCCGTTGGTGAAGTTTTGGCCCTGCGTGGGAGGTGCAGAGATGGGGGAAGTTTGGCTCGAGTAAGGGGAATAGCTCCAGGAGGGCTGAGTGAGCCCGTCACCAGGCTGATAGTGGGCGAGGGGGGCGAAATTGGGTGGGCTCCCAATGGAGTAACTCCGTGATATCGGGATGTGGGGTACAGTGGGGAACTCGTAAGGCATGTCGCCGACAGGTGGCGAGGAGAAGCTCCGGCTGCGTTGCTGAGCAGCAACTACCTCGGTGGCATAGCGATGGTGGGCGTTGGCATCGGGGAACACGGGGATACAGCTGGCTGCCGGGTACCCGTTCCCGTGGGTGCAGGGAATGGTTGCGTACTGGGAGCTCGTGTTTGGGGATAAGGATGTGGGAGGGGAAAGAGGTGGCGACTCCGTCAGGCGAGTGAAGACCAGTCGGAGAGGTGACGGGGTCGGCGTAGGGCTTCTGCGGGAGCTGGTGAAGGAATCTGTACCTCCTGCGCAGGAAACTCCCGTTTTTGAACATCTCCGAGCTCGCCGGGTGAAGCTTCCAGAAGTTTCCTTTCCCCGAGGAGCCGTATTCGCGCGGGACCTTTATGAAGCAGTCGTTGAGGCTGAGGTTGTGCCGGATGGAGTTCTGCCAGGTGGGCCAGCGCTTGCGGTAGTAGGGGAACTGCTGGATGATGTAATCACAGATCTCCCCCAGCGTGAGCATCTTGTTGGGCGACTGGGAGATGGCCATCGCGATCAGGGCAATGTAAGAGTATGGTGGTTTGATGTCGTCTTGGTTGCACTGCGAGGTGGAGTTGGCCTTCTTGCGGTTTCTCTTTTTCGTGGACGATTTCTGCTGTGTTTCGGTTGTCTCGGAACTGGTGGTGGTGCTAGAGTCTGATGACGTGGTGGTGTCCTTGTCTGGGCGTTCATCCTCGGTGCTCTGGTTGTTTTCTCCCTCTTTTGTCTTCACCAGCGGAGGAGGAAGGGCTCTCTTTCCGTCCTCAGGCTCGCTCTTGATCGTTTTCTGCAACACGGGTGCAAATAGGGTGGAAGAGGGGAAAGATAACGTTGGGATAATTGGCGAATGTCTCGCTGCATTCCGTAGTGGAAGATGCAAATTGCGCACCAGCTCGTCTTACAATCGATTGCGATTCTGCAGCGCCTCACAGGGGTGTCCGGTTACGTAGGCTCCACGGCACTTACGCCGGGCACTCGAGGCGCACCGAAGCTTGCTAGGCACGTCTAACAGTGAGCTGCAACTTCTTTTCTTTTAGCTTTACAAACTACAATATACAAACTGACCCCGCAGTCAAAATACACACAATAACGAAGTGTAAATAGCAGTTTACACGTCCAGCCAAAAGTAAAACAGCAACTCTTTGCACACGTGTGCTCGATTTCACTGCATTTGCAACGCGCCCTGGCTTTTCGAGATTGCAACCGAGCTGGTAAAGTACGTTGCAGAGGAGCGCGAACGCAGTGCAAATCAACTCCAATTCACCTCCATATTCAAAGGTGGTCTTGAACGGTAGCGCGTTCACTGCTGTTCTCACTGCCTCACAAGGTTTTACTTTTCTCCAGCAGGCGCAGAAGAAAAGTGGTCAAATCGACGTCGCCAGGTCCGGCTTATAAAGCACGCGCGCGTTGCGAGCAAATTAGTTGCGCATGCGTATTCCGCAGTCGGCGCGCGGCGACGGCATGCAGACACTGCAACAAAAAATAATGCACGCGACTGACATAAATCAATGGAAAAATGTGAGATGTTCTCTATCGCTGACTATCTGAGGTCCACTACTTCAATGGGCGACTGGGAGAAGACCACATGAGGGCATTCCTGGAAGAAGGGAAATATGGAATAGGCAGTTGGATAATTCCTGATTTTTTAGCAGCTATTTTTCACTTTTTGAAAGTGGACAAGTGCTTTGATTTTTGAGTGCCTGAAGTAGGTATGTCTGAAACCCTCATAATTATGCCTGAGCTGCAGTCTGAAGTCTCTATATTATAGCACAGCACTCCCACACGCCTGAGATCATCCACTACCTACACCCACAATCACCCAATAGTAAACTGATAGTTGCTAGACTTGTCAAATAGGTCACACTATACCAATAGAAAGAGGGTATTTAGAAGAGCTTTAGCAATGAGCTGATAGCATTTTGATACTGCTTAGCACAACAACGGAGCTCAAGGCATTGGGCAGTTAGGTGCACGTGAGTAAAGGTGTGGATTTTAGTTCTCTCCCTCACCTCATAAAGAGGAGGCTCCTTTGGGTGAGTGTGGAATCCTTCTTTCTCGCAATGTGTGATATAGTCCAGTCCATAGGGCTCAGTCAGCATGTATACCCCCACCCTAAGTGAGCAGAGAGTGGTGTGTCGTTTGTGTGGAGTGGCAGAAAGGGAGACATTTGAGCCCATTCTACAGGAGGTTGAGCTGTTTGTACAGTGCTAATGCGATTATGATAGTCCTGTAGGGGTCTTCAAAAGACCCCAACAGTTCGCAGTGGGTATATAATGAGCTAACAACCCCCCAAACTTCAAGGGCTGGCAGGTTCCCAGATAAAGGAAGCAGTTTTTGTTAAGAGGTGTGTCTTACACTCGGTATCCTGGGGCCCCACAATGGCAGAGGGGTAAGGAGGGACTTCAAACCACCCCTGTTGACATACTGCAACCACATGGCCAGTCAAGCATGACCATGGAGGTCCTATGTCACCCCAGTTCCAGACTTACTTCCCTCTGCCCTGCAATAGATTAGCTTACTTCCCCCTGCCCTGCAATAGATTTCCAACCCTTAGCTTCCACTTGTTCTGTTCACCTCAGGAGGTTGCTATAGCAGTAACTAACTAAACTTCAGCAATGATTATCGTGGAAAGTCAAGTTCCTGGCTTGAAGTAGCAGTACTGCAATTGCTTACCTCTTCTCAAATGTTCATATATTTGCATTACTGCACAATAGTTGACTAAAACAACACGCTATATACACATCCAAAGTCTGGACAAGTCTAGTATGTGAACACATTATGCTCACTTGGGCCTGCTCTGAAATTCATAACCAGGGAAGACCCAAGCTGCTCAACTCTCAGTACTACAGAGTCTGTATAAACTTAACTGGGCAGGAAGGCATTCAAGGACAAGTGCCATTTGGATAGGCAGTGGAACAGCACAAACCAACAGTTATTTCATGCACTTGGGTCATAACAAAGCTGTCCACAGCTTAGGGAGTAAATATGATGCAGCTCTGTAAAAGGCTGGGGCAGGAGGAACACTGCAGGAACACTGGAGGACGCGTGGCAGGCCAAGCTTAGACAAAAAACACTTGTCAGGGGGCAGAAAGAGATGGGCCTACGAGACAGGGGGGGAAGGGGAGGAAAAAAAAGAAAACAGGAAAAAGCATATGAGAAAAAGAGTTAAACGTTTAAAAACGTGAAACCAGGAATTGAACAGTCATACCAGAAAAAAGTATCTATTAAAAACAAAAAGGTTGGTAATAACTAACAGGCCAGAAATAACAGAAAGCAAAAGAAAAAGACAAAAAGAAAGGCAAAAAAGAGAAAAACAAACACAAAAAGACAAAAAGATAAACAAAAGAAACAATAAGAGACAGGATTAAAAAAATAATCAAGAATACGGCAAGAAATGAGATAGAAAAACCGGAAGGAAAGAAAAGCAAAACTTCTGCAAAAGAAGCTAAAGAAATAAGGAAGAAAAAGAAAAAAAAGAAGGGAGGAGAAGAGGAAAAAAACAAACGGGACGAAAATTGAGCAAATAAACCCAAAACAAAGACGAAACAAAAAGAGAGGTAACAGGGAATCAAATAAATTCATAAAAAAATGGTTGTGTGAGAAAAAAAACAGGAACAATTTGACAGAAGTAGAGTTAAGTAAAGAAAAAAAAAGAGGGGATGTAAAAAAGGAAGAGAAGCAAAACAAGGAGATTAAAGAAGAAAAAAAAGACGGGAAAGAGGGGAGGGCGAGAAGAATGAGGTAGAAAGGAAAAAGGAGGAGGGGGAAAAGATATAAAAAAAGAGAATTATAGAAAGATAGGGCACTACAAAATAAAAAAGAAGAGAGAAAGCAAGGAACACAGGACGAAAATATACAAAATAGGACATACGACAGACGATGAAAAGTAATACACAACAAATAAAGAAATGAAAAAAAAGTGAAAACTAAAAAAAACCTAAGATAAAGAAGAAAATAAGGGGGAGAAACGAAGGGAGAAGAGGGGAAGGAAGGAAAAAAAGGGAAGGGGAAGGAAAAAGAAGAAGAACAAGTACAATAAAAGAACAAGACGGGGGGACAATAAAATAATGAAAATAAAAGGGAGATAAAAGGAGAGGGAAAAAGGAAAGCAAATACAAGAAATAAGAATAAAAAAAAATGTATGGAGTGGAAAGAAATGGTAGGGGGGGGAAAAAATGAAAAAAATCAAAAAAGCAAATCAAAAATAATGAAAAAAAGGACAAAAAGTAAAAAAAAAACATGCGGGGCACAAAAATGTTAAAAAAAAAAACTAAAAAATAATGAAAAAGTAAAGCATAAAGAAAAATAAAAAAAAGAAGAACAATGACTACACACAATAAAAAAGTATTAAACCAAAAAAACAAAACAATAAAAAAACAAACAAAAAAAAATCAATAATAAAAATAAAAAATAAAAAAACAAAAACTAAGACAATAAAAATAAATAAACAGCAAAAAAATAAAAATAAAAACACAAAAAAAAAAAAAAAACAACAGCTGCCATAGCTTACCAACTCCATTGTCCAGTAGGTACAAAGGGTAAGGAAGGGATGCTAAACAATGACAAGCACAGCCAAGCACTCTATACTCCAGCTTGCCTTTCTGGTAAACAAGTGGAGTGCAGGTCTTGAGCGTGTGGATAAGGGTAGCAGGGTTTACACAGGTATCAACTCTAAATCTTCTGCAGGCTCTAACAAGCAGCAGCTATCCTATCTCCAGGCTGGCTACAAGGTGTGCTTCTTCCCAAACGACTCTGAAGTTAATTCAAGTGTATATAGGTCTGCACAAGGCTTCACATATCCTTATCCTGATTCTAGCTACATGCCTAAGAATTCAAGGCAAGCAGAAAGACCCCTCAGGCAGGAAGCAGGATTGTTAATTGGAGGCATGGCCTCTTTATCAGAAAATTAATCCAGATGAGTGAGCCAACATTCATGTTGGTTAGCAGAAGCACTAAAGGCACTGTTGTTTGTGGAGATGATTCCCCCTTTCTGCCCTAGACCCATTGCTGAAGACTTCCTTCACTCCACCAATACAATACCTTCTGTTCCAGATGGCTGGAAATGGGGACACTAGTAAGTCTAGACTGACAGGATGGACTGTTGCTAATGACACCACTCACTTCCTTTCAAATGCCAGCTAATCAGGTGCACAATCATGACAAAACCTACAATCAACACCTCAAAAAACTACAGCTCAATTTTTCAAGATTGCCACCAGCCTTGGGTGCTGCTATATAGGAGCCCATACAAAAGTCTCCCTGACCTTTTAGGTCTTTGCATATGACACTCTTAGAGGTTGTTAGCAGCTATACTGGTGTTTGTTAGCGCTACATTGGTGTCTGGGTGGCTGAGACAGTTCCCACTAGTTAGCTCAGTGGAGTGTGGAGAGGTGGAAGATGTGTGGGAGCGTGGGATGGTACAGTACTGACTGAGGGTAGGTAGGGGGAGCTGAGGGATCATCACACCACGGTAGATTGGGTAGGTGGTGGGAAAAGAGAGGTGAAGGGACGGATGATTGGGGCTGCATTCCTGCAGCTCAGGAGGCACCCCAACTAAATAAACACACACTTAGTACTCTCCTATACACACACATTCATTTCTGAATCACTCTAAGACAATAGTAAATCCACCTACAAACTACAATTGTGTGTATATACACAGGCTTTCTCTCTCTAAAATAAAATGATACTACATCAGTAGTGGATGGATGGGCTCATTTTACTGTGGGCATTCTGACACTAGCAATAATTAGTCGTCCGGACCTAAAAGATTTCTATCACGATGCATTCTTCTGCATTGTTAGAGAACTGCAGATAATGTGGACACAGGAATGCTGCCTCATCACTTTGTTCGGAACAAGAGAACAACAGTATAAGTATAGCCTCTCTTCATGATTTGCATAATATTCGCAGGTTGAACCGAAGCACTACCATTTAATTCATGTGTAAAAAAGATGAACACCCCTTAACACTGTGATAGAAGCTACACTCTTGTGGTGGGCGCTGCACATGGCCATTAGAGTAGCTTCAGGGAACTGTCCACCTACCCTGCAGGCACACAGATAGCATCTCCACACACACACACACATGACCTTGTGGTGCTTCAGCCTTCATGGGAGTATAGTAAACTCCAGCCAGTTCGGCTGTCTGGAGGCTGGACTCTTTGAGGTGAAGAGGTAGAAAAAATCTCCCCACCTCCACTTACCCTGTTACTGAGTAGCAATTATAAATGTAGCAGTAGGTTGCCGATGACCACATTCTGAAACTCATTGGGTTTGTATTCCACCACCAGGAAAGTTATGGGGAAGTTTCATGTCAATCCACCCACAGTGAGTGGCATAAGTACACACCTTTTTCACCCACTCAGCTGACCCAACCAACTCAAGAAAACCTGACTTGGACATGGTACATACTATGGCTACCATTTCTGATGAGTGCGTATTGCAAGAATTATGGTGACACCAGGAAAACGGAGCTCTATTGTGGAGCCATCCATGTTGCTCATTGTCAAAGAACTCACTCAATAAGAGGCCAAATATATATGACTAGGTGCATGCATCCTTGGCATTGAATTTTTATTTATAGCTATAAGGTCGGTACTTTGTAAAACGGGATTTGAAATCCGTGCACTGAGCATATAAGATGTGCTAATAACATTAACAATAGAACCTACAATAACAATTGTAGCTGTACTATGTATTACATGCGTAGGTCAACTCACTGGCTGTAGCGTGGGGCACAGACAATGGCGATGGCCTCGTCCAGCATGATCTGGTAGGAACAGTGAGTGTGGAGGTCAACACTGGACATGAAGGCCGTCTGAGACGGATGGGTCTGTGGAGATGGGAGTGAAAGAAGGGAGACAGGGAGGGAGAAGAGAGAGAGATGACTATAAAGACCAGCTTTCAAAAGGTAGTTATTTTAAGACAAAAAACCTCAGAACCTAAGATGGTCAAGCCACTTTCCTCACATTCCACTGCAGCTCTGGTGGGCCTTCAAAGGCAGGCAGTGGAGATAAGAGACAATGGGTCCAGTGGCCCATCTTCCCACCCAAAAGAAAAGCCCCCCCTCCTTTCCCACTGCAGCAAGGGCTTTGATCTGGCCTGGAATTAGCCAGTGACTAAGTCTGAAACCCCACAGTGTGCAGTACCCAGACAATGCATGGGCTGGCCCCTCACCAGCATACCTACACACTACAGATAAGAAGTGTCCTCTTTCTATGCCCACCAGTCCTCAGTTCTTTTCTACAATCCCTACCACTTTAGTTTCACTGGGGCCTAAGTGTTCCTTTTCTATGTGGATAAATCTTACCGCTGTTGCATTTGGGAAGGAAGGAGGGTGAATAACCCGCTCTTTATAGACCTTACCCATGCATTCAACTGATTAGCTATCAGCCGAGTCTCAGAGAACACACACACACATGGTAGACCACATGCGAGTAGACGTGACTCCATTATCAGAGCCTATAGGTAGCCGGGAGAAGCTCGAGGGAGGGTCTTATCTAGCCAAACAATGAGGCAGTCCCCAGTTCAGCCAGCCCCCAGTTCCCGACCGATACCGGCCAGTTATGACTGCCAGATTGAGGCCCGATAGATAGAGGCAGATCCGGGAGATGTCAGTAATGGGGTATGAAAACAGGAGAAAGTGATAAGCCACGCATATATGGAGCTGGGTCGTGGCTATCAGGGACATGTGGTGGACTCTCTCACTACACTCACAGGCAAGCAGGCTGCGGAACAAGAGACCGCTACTTCACTGCTGATGGAGGTCATAGAGAATGCAAGCCATGGAGTGTAGGTCATAGAGGGTAGGTGATGGAGTGCAGGCGATATAATAAAGTCTAAGTGATGAAGTGTAGGCCATAGCGTGCAGGCCAAGATAGAGTGCAGGCGAAAGAGGTGTGGGCGATGATGGAGCATTCCTGGTGCTAATGTGCATGTGATGGCTCCCAGAGGCCTCCCACACGCTCTACTGGGTGGTTGACAGCTCAACTCAACTCCCAGAAGACTGCACTGGTATAAGATCTGCCCCATAGATCCACACACCAGCCACATACTCTGTACACAGCGTTGATCTCATCACTCACAGTATGAACACACTATATGGTTGGGAATTGTCCAGCTCTGTCTAAGGCAAAGTGTCCCATCCATAGCTGAGCTAATGAGCTATGCAGTTTCTGCCTTAGGGTATCTTGTCAGTCATCGTCAAAATCATCCCTACTGTTTTACTTTTTTTTCTACAGAGTGGTTTACTAGCTGAACGTTTCTTTATATTAGCCCCACCATACAGTGGTTCCACATAATTATTATGCCACGATAATTAATTTCCACAATAATTGGAACCGCAGCATGAGGTGCTTCTGTGCACAAAATTGTTTAGCGAGGACAGACAAAAACATTTCCAGAATAACTGCAGCCTTATAAAAGCACAATATTGATCTTTTACACAGATATTATTTGTGATGTGAGACGAGAACAAAGGAAGAAAACTCACGTGAATCCAGCCGAGTGTGATGAGGTCGTGCTGGTCTTGAACGTCGAAGAGTTCTTCTTCGGAAACGGTCTCACACGAGTCAGGACCTCCTTTCTGCTTTGGTAGGATCACGTGAGTCACGTGGAGCTTGTTGTGAGACTAGTGTGTGTGTGTGAAGGAAGAGAAGAGATAATAAAAAGTTGGGTTGATAAAAAGAAAGCGAAAGGAATGCATTTGGTCAATTTAATTAAGAGAGCCAAACAAATGTTTTGATGCCCAAGTACACGCATTGACAGTACACTAGCAGCGACATGAGAGAGGGAGGCAGGCAACAAGAGAAGGTAGTAGTGTAAAAAAGAGGCGGTGAGTGTGTGAGTAAGGACTACAGGAGGTTCTGATAAGAGTTACGCTCAGCAGATGGCAGAGGTGACCACTACACTCGAGTCACGCAAAGCATTCTGGAGATTAGCAGGTGGTGTAGCAGATTAGGGCACTCGCTGGGCCCACTATGCCGCCTCGGGCTCCTCTCCCCCCCTCCCTTTCCTCCCCCCCTCTCACGCCTTGCCAGTTCGCAGTGTCTTATCTGCACACTCCCTCCCTCTCCCCCCACAGCTCCCCAAGTCGTGTGTGTCCAGTACTCACGCTAGGTAGTACAGCCTCCACATCGGGAGGCACGCACACACCTTCGCAATTTCTCTTAGCACCACACACAACACCGTACTACGGTAGTATTTCAAACACATAACATTGCTAAAAGATAAAAAAATTGCCTCCGAGAGGCATATACACATAAGTGTAATCTAGAAACGGTATACCGTTAATGTAGTGGAAAATACGAAACATGTTAGTATCTATACTACCTTTTAAAATCTACATTGTTAGCTTACTCTCTGATTCTGCCCTACTATGCTACAATAGCAGCCACTTATGCCACTGCTAAAGTTTACACAGAGTGGCAGCTAGTCTGAGTCACTGCATCGTGCCTGCGTGTGCTGAGCTTCACACGCTTATTCCCACAATACGGCAGTGCCTTCTAGGGCACCTCGCGTACAGCTTGCATCATTATCATTATTATGGAGCTGAGCATTTTGTGGGGGATACGTATGCGGCGAAAGACAATAAGGCATGAGTTTTTAAACTGAGGGGTGAAATGGGTTGCTAGTCGCCTGCTAAAGTAGAAGCATGCAACGTTTGTTAATCAGAAGTGTATATATATATATAATACGACAACTCCCTCAATACCAAGGCTCACTCTGTATAATAATCCAAATTCTTCTGTCAAACAAACAATTTGTAATGTGGTAATAACTTATCAAACAAAAGCCTACCATGTTCTAATCTTGAACAAATCGAAAATCGATACGCAATGTCAATTCGAGCTCAACTAATTTCAGCGAGTATGAGTCTATAATTCCAGTCAGTATTCCAGTTACATTGTACAGCTATAGGCACAATGGAGGACCACCCAGTTTCAACCGTAGTTGGTGGTGGAATGCAAGAGTGGGCAAATATGCATCGACGGCTCATTGGGAGGCAGGCTAGCGCAGGGCTGATTCAATCAGCATTGGGTGGGAGTGACACGGTATGTATTGCGACTGAGGGAGAGAGAGAGGGAGAGAGAGGAACGATGGAGGAGTACCTTTTGAAACTCACCGCACAGACAAAAACCCACGTGACGGCTGGTGAGCAAAAACTACGAGCAAAAAGTTGCATAAACTGACCTTGAACCATCTATGCGTATTTTGCACATGGGGCGGTAAACCCTAATGAATTCGAGGCATTCTGGAGATTAGCAGCTGCATTTAGACGAAATAGTTGTATTAACAAAGCGATGAACAATTAACCCTTGCAAGCCACCATAACAAGCTCTGTACTACACTGAAAAGTTGCCCACTGGATGACGTGTACAACATCCCACAAAATCCCACTAGCAAAACGCACACTATGAGCCTCTGTGTAAATTCTACTACATCTGGGAGTACTGAAGAGGTAGTGCTATTGTATGCGGCAGTATCTTATGGAAATTCTGAGTATCCAGACTCTTACTATAGTCTTTCCGGTAGAGTATGACCTTGCCTTCATACAACGTGTATACATTCATCTCCTGGGGCTAGTCAGTATTCTATGAACTTGGTCTGGGACAGAGAGCATATTACACTTCGTATTGTGTTTGTGCATTGTGAAAACTAACTTCTTTTTTTTTACAGTAGGTAAAAATTTACGCAGTGAAAACCATCTAACCAATTGGACGTAAAAAAAATTTCATATTAGTGAGGTGTCCTTATTTCACCAATTGCATGCAAGAACTAAAGGATTACAGTGTCCACATTTTAGGGGTGTCCTCAGAGATGTTTCCCACTATAATTATCGTATGCATACGCAGGTCTTCAAACCTAATAATACGTTGGGCTACGAAATATAATTATAGATATCGAAACAGATGTGCCGAAGTGTATTCATTCCCTTTTCCTCCATCCTGAAATGTAGGAAATCACCCACACAGATGTAGTACAGTCTCTGCATACAACCCTTAAGGCATGCATTCCCTCCATACCTGAGTCCCAAGGAGCAGTGGACGTGACACGCATAGGCTGCGAGACTCCCTAAATCCAATTTTCTTCCACTCAAATTGGGTTTGGACGAGTAGCTCTTGGAAACCAGGCAGTCATGCGTGCAAGTACTTAACTATTACCTGATTGGCTACTATATATCTCTACTGCAAAGAGATCTCATCCTACACACTATGGCCTACACACAATCTGGTGATCCGCACACCCACCAGTATTTTAAGCAATTTTACGGCAGAGGAAAGGCATTGGCAGTTTGTCTTTCAAATAGCCATGGTATTACCACGGTATCACCATGGTGTTGCCATGGAACACCATTAGTTGAGTGGTAAATATTTTCTTGATGATGGCAGTGGTAGGGAAATGCAAAATGAAAAACAGCCTCCGTTTGGCGGACCTGCTGCGCAGTCTAGGATGCCAGGCACTGAACTATATTCGGAATAAGTTTCCATCTGAAAGTATAAACAAACATGCCCCGCAATTAGCAGTAATTATAGTATCACTACGCCAGTCCAGACCTGCAATAGTGTATGTGGCCAGGGTCACTCTGACATTCCACTAAGATGAGTACAAAATTAGCATTCCTTCCCTGCCTACCGACCAACCAAATCTCTTGATGTCCATTGTACGCTAAGTGTAGCATGAAAAAGCACGCTTGCAAATCGGCAGTTTTCTGTGAAATTTATTTCGCAGAACAAGTTACGCCTCTAGTCAGTGAAAGCCGTAACAAATCGCAAGAAACCGTAGGACTAAAACAACTCACAACAACAAAAGCTTAAAAGGGTTTTGCAATGCACAGTTATTAGGGCACATGCGTGGCAAAGTTGTGAAAAATACTTTCACGATTTCGTTAAATTCGCAAAAGCTCTTGCCGTAAAAATCTTAGCGGTGCGAAAAGGCTGTAATATCAGTACCAGTTTCCCGGCAAGAATGGCGCATGTCTCCACATTCTGTCTGGTGTTGGCCGAAGCTGCTCCTTCAAACTTCCGGGAAATGCTCTCGGGAACGTACACCATCCTATAGCCCCCTGCAGGAGTGAGAGAGTGAGAGAGGGAGGGAGGGAGGGAGGGCTGATTTCTTTTCCTCTCTTTTAGCTAGTATGCTATAAACATGTTGCACAAGCTATTAAAGCTCTAATGAGATGTCTGTTATTAGAGAGGTAATGGCATGTACAAGACAATAATAATTACAGTGGATACTTGCGACGTCCCCAGTACCAACTGCTTATTGGGTGTGTAAACAGCCAATGAAATTAAATTACGCGGCTTGATCCCTTGTCACAGCTGAGCCGGAGGGCAACGCAGCAGGATGACCAGGACCAAAGCTGCATACATACTTTGGATAATGAGCCACTGATAGCCTTGCAACTTGAGTCTAGGGGGCAACATGCCATTCATTGGCGCCGGCCTCTAACAACACTGGGACATTAGTGAGTGGGTAACAGGCAGTCAGTGAGTGGTCAGAACAGGCACTGGTCCGGGAGATACTATGACATCCAGCGATGTTGCTAAAATTAGTACTCTACAACTCTACATTTCATAAAATATTAATTCGGTGGAGATTAGTGTCTGGAGAGGTCCATGTTGTTCTTTCAACGTTTGGGCAAAAGTTCAGTAATGGTTGGTTGGTAGAATGAAGGATGATTGATGATCACAGTACACACGGGAGAGAGGGGGAAAGAAGAACAGACTTCCATCAGGAGTCAAACAGTGGCATCGAGACTGGAAAAGTCCAATACCAAGCACTATAATAATATACCGCTCCCGGACAAAAAGGTCTTAAGGACACTGGGTGTGTAGGGAGAGTTGGGCCCATAAAAGACTCTTTAACCTACCGCCCCGGTTCTCAAGGCTGGGCACCCAGGGTCCTGCCTCTTTCTTTCTGTTTATATGTTATTGTCTGTGTTTTTGTACACTTGGGTATGTTATTGTCTGTGTTTTGTGTGCTTGGGTGGGGGAGGTTCTTTCTTTTCCTCTGAGCTAGTATGCTATAAACATGTTTTTTCATAGTATATACATACGTTAGATTTAGCAATGTCCTTTAAGATTTGTGTTTTGGTCGAAAGCTTACCCGAGTTGAAAATCCAGTGAGCTATACAACGAGTCACAACTCACAGATAAAAGCCCCCATCCACAAGAAGATGAAAGAAGTGCACCGTTAAAGAGAGGTTGTAGAGAAGTCAATCACGCCACGTGAGGGGGAAGGACACCCCCCAGGAGGCAGCTGGAGAAGACGGAGCAGGTGTGGGCAAGACAGCTGTCCTCACAGGTACGGCTGAGTTCCCCTCCCTCGCACTGCAGCTGAGGTACCTGGTAGCCATGTAGCAGGTACCAGCCGGCCCCCAGCCAACAGGTGGCAAATACATGTACACAGGGACGACCGACACACACGATGACAACAGTTTTTCATTTCAAAAACTGCGCTACATGGCACGCTTTTTCGACTACACATGTAGCCTGTTGTCTAGAGTACATCCGGATTGCAATTGGCGGTTGGTTACATTTTCACTAACAAGTTCATGAAAATGACGCATTTTTGCTATATCAGGATGTAGCACGTGGTGTAGAGGGGATTTTGGACTACAGTCGGTTGCATTTTCATAAACAAGCACATGAAATGACGCAAAAACCCATGTCTTAGAAACGACACGTGGCTACAGCCCTGCGGCCCACTCAAAACAACACGAAATGGCATATTTTAATCATCCCTCCCCCCTTATGCTCCCCCTCGCTGCACACCACAATAAAAGCTGTCAACAATAGTTGCCCTGCGTCGACCTCTTTTCAGCACTCGAGGCCTCAAATCAATAGATTCACGCGGCAAACATCGAAATAACTGAAGGAATCAACATTCCTAGTCGAGCGGGTGTTACCTACTCCCCACACACTCGGGAGCACTGGATGGCACTGGTACAATGGGAGACACAAGGAGTACCAGGGCATGTAAACAAGTGTCAGGTTCGCGGAGTTTGAACAGTGCATGCCAGGGAGTCGAGGGAGGCAGTGGTCTGGGAGACGTCGAGACCAGCCGCCAGCCGAGGAAGAGGTCGTAAACAAGCGTTTTGGGTATTCCTTGCCTCACGAGGGATTCCAAAGGTTGGCCCAAGACGGAGTCATTTTGTTCCGTATTTCTTGGGAGCGTGTACGGAGAAGGGGAGACCTTCGACCATAGCTAGAGAGTGAAGCACACCCTCTTTTGCAAGTGATTAAATGGTAAGGACCTTAACAAACTATCAATGACCTCCATTTTTAACTTCTTGGACGGCCTACATTTTAAAAATTTTACTAAGCATATTAGACAAACAATTCATTAAATAGCAAATCACCACCCAAAGTGTTAAGTTTGGCTTTGTTAGACCATCCCAAATGTAGAGAGAATGATCTACTGTTTCTACTGTTGCAACAAAAGCCTTTGTGGATCAGAATTGATAGCAGTACCATAGGCAGACATACTGTGGAAGACAACGTGTTTTTCCCACCTCCCAGCATCCAGTTTTCCACGGGAAGTCTATCCCACTATATCATGAGGTCAGCATTCTCTCGGCTCTCTCCCCTCCTCCCCTCCCCACCCACACAAACACCACCACAACGACTGATATACACACACACGGAGAAGTTTGGTGTCCCACATGTGACTTTATCCCACTCACCGTGAGATTTGTATACACAAGACTGCTCCATTCCTGGGGGCACCACTATGCCTTCCCATACTCAACCAACCCGGCTCCTCCCTTTCACTCTACCTCTATCCTCATCCCATCACCCACAATAATGTGGTAAATAAATTCCCATGGATATCGCCATGGAAATGTAATGGGATCCCACCTGCTTTATTAATCTGTGAATTGTACCTGCTCTCACAGGAGGCATGAAATGAAGACATCCGAGTCATGTGCATACCAGTGGAGAATTGAGGCAAGCCAGTGGTGGAGTATGTAGTGTTTATGTGAGTATGGAGTAGAAGCCCCCCCTTTGTAGTGGGGTGAACGATTGGTAGCGTAGCTGCGAGAAAACGGCTGTTCTGTGATTCGATTAGCGATACAACATTTGACGAGCCACCGATGCACATTCCACAGATGGTGATCAAAATGAGAAAGAATTCAATCACCAGATAACTGAGGCGGTCACGTTACGTTGCCTACTACAAGCGCAATTAGACTGAGGCAGTTGCATAGATTCCGGTAACAGTAGTAGATGGCAATGCAAATCATTTCTCATTGTGAAACGAAAAATGCTATCTGTACTCACTCTTGTAATTAGCAGTTCTAACGGCTACTATGTAGATATTGGCTGTGAACAATGTGTGAATCATTGGGCGTTAACAAAAAGGCAAATGCAATCAATGACACCCCAGAAACCACTTACTTATTTACGTATTTGAGCGTTTCATGATTTTTGCCACAGGCAGTTCAGAACCCCTTCTCAAATATGGAGCATTCTCCTCACCCCTGACATTCAATTCACAGCCAGTCACTAAGAAATGTCACTGAAAATCTCTTATGTATGCATAGCTGCAGTATCACTAACATGTACACTAAACCAGAGCAGTTGATTTATTAAACATGGAACATGCACCAATGACAAAGATTATACCGAGATGAGTTATATTGTGCAAGACATCTAACTAACATGGTGTTTTAGTGAGTATCAGTCAGCTACTGCTATCACTCATGGCTATACAATAATCATATCTAATGGTCGTGGAATGTGCGGGTTTGTTATCAGGTTGCCATGGAAACCTCAGCTGGAATTCCAGATGATGATGGTGGTCGATTACAGTGGGAACAGAGAGGGTCAAATTAGTAGATGTGTGTGTAGTGAGCGCACGCACTCTTTATGCTTTGTGCACGTATCATACCTGACAATAACAGTCCCTATCTTGTTTGTGACACGCCATTGGGGTGTATAAATGAAATACAACACTTTTCAAAGAGAAAAGAGCTGGGACTCAAACCATGTACACATTATTTGAGAGCTTGTGAAGCGTGGGAGTCTAACTGAAGTGTATGAAGCTGCGTTTTACACCCAAGTATAAATACACAACTAAACTGTTTGTTTTTTAAATAAATACACTGTTATTTGTTAAATCTGAGAGCTGGTGAAGTCAGGGGGTATATGTAAATTAGGCTGCAGTAATCTTTCAAATTCGATCCACTTTACAACTAGACCACTTTTGTTTTGAAGCAAAAAGAGGAAGCCTCTGAGAGCTAGCCTGAATGATGATTCTGTGGAAGCAAGCATCCTCTGCACATCAGCCTAAAACAAACAGCCACCACTATTTACACACCAGTTGTATACACAGCTCCAGGCATCAGTGGAGCTATATACCTTCCTGCAGTTCAGGAGCTTCCTAGACAAACATGCTTGTTTGACTGAACACACACACGTGCCTCAGCATCCCCAGCTCCATTGCCAAGTTGATACAGCCACACAGTTAGAACCATGTGGTTTGGAGACCTCTCCCCACCACAATGAAAGCCCTAGAAACAAACGCATCATCCACACTATATACAGTACCTTAATCTCTCGAAATACCATCCTTTGGTCTTATGTATGAAGCCTCAAGCATAACTGTCAACTATTGATGCAGTCATAATCAATTGCACGTGACTGTGGTCTAAGCTTACTGAGGCAAAGTGTGAGGATTACGAAAACAGTCGTAAGGCATCTATAGAGCACTCACAGTATCGAGACACAAGACATGGCCCTAGGTGATGGGCCTGTGTAAACACAAGTCCGAGAAGCAGGTGCTTTGTCAGATCCAGAGCTGATAAAAGATGGAGGACTACTCTACCCTTCAGAGCCGGGAGTCTGCCTGTGGTCACCGCAGAGGTCGAGTTATTCAATGATGTCATATTCAGGACAACCCATCTTGGGATTGTCCGTCCCGGATTAATATTGGGATTTGATGATGCACTACATATATCTACTATATGTATAACCCACTCTTCTGCCCCTCAGATGTAGTTCATAAAGAACAAAATGTTCCACCACATCACATACGTTGTACTCACTGAATGGAGAACTAACTAACCTCCAATGCTAGCTCAGAAGACAAAAGCACGCACGCACACACACACACATTACGTAGACACACGGCCAACCTCCTATGCTGGTTGAGAGCGGATTATAGGATGGTTTCTTGGAACGGTCAAAACTGGGAACCTGTGGCGCAGCCTCCTCATCTTCTTCCTCCCTGATAGCTGCCGGGGAAAAAAAGGGACATCTCGTGATATTGATCTCTAAGAGTTACGTCCTTAAAATACTGTCTGTATATTTTGCTAGTAATAAAATCGCACACTAGCTTAGTTTTTCTTGTGTACTGTACAGCATTATGTACAAGTATACATAAATGAACATTAAGGATTGCAAAAAGGACTCACTCTGAGTAGGTGTGGTTTGTGGAGTCATGTGATAGCTGGGGGCCGGAAGTTCGACGGACCCCCAACTACTGCTGCTGGCATTTGAATATTGGGTCACGTACGGCCCCCCGGGGGTCGGGGCTGGCTGGTAACCCTGGTGATAGTACCCCGGCTGGTTGTACTGCATTGCGGCAGCGGGGGGCGGAATTTGGGTCCCCTGGGACTGATAGTAGGGGTTTGTGGGGGGAGGATGCTCGGAATAAACCGGAGGGGCCATCTGGACTGGAGGAGGAGCACTCGGACCAGAAAATATCGAGCGATATGTCCGAGCACTGGCAAGGGGTGCTTGCGCGGGGGGCGTCAAATTTCCCCCTGGAGGTGTCATGGGGGAGAAATTCTGTGTGGGGGGTGGGGGACCCTGGTAGGTAGGAGGTAGAACCTGTGCAAGTTGAGCATTTGTGGCCGTGACACTCCTTTCTTCAGAGACTGCGTGAGTTGTGGGTGATTCGACGAGAGTCAATCCTCCCATTGAGGCTGCCAGGTCATCAGTCGGAGCTGTCTCAGTCCAACTGGGAGTTTGGTCTCCATTACTGGTCCTCTCTCCACTCTCTGTCAAAGTCCCACTGCTGTGCGTGGCGGTAGACGGCGTCTGGTTACCGTCCGATTGTACAACGTCCCTGTTAGAATCTGAAACTGCACCGCTACCGCCGGTTGCGAGAAAAGCGGCCACTCTCTCCGCCTCTTCTCTCTCCTTCCTCTCAGCCTCCTCTCGCATCTGTCGCTCCCTCTCCTCTCTCTCCCTCTGCTCGGCTGCCCTCTTCTCTTCCTCCTCCTGACGTCGTTTCTCTGCCTGGACACGACACCGGGGGTTAATAATTAAAACGATAACAACAGTGCGTGATTAAAACAAGTGTATATACGCATGTAAGCATACCGGTGGTACTAATGTATACTAACACACTGTGTGACTATCTACAGTCTTTATACACAGGTGTTCGGAGGTCAGATAATACACTAAAGTATTAGTGTGGGATCAACACAAGTATTCATCATTCATCGGTGTCCTTTATATCGAAGTATTGACTGATGCTACTAGTCTTCAATGGTGAGATTAATGATGAAAACTCAACTCACTTCTTCTGCCAACTTTTCCTCCAGAGCGCTTTTCTCAGCCTCGAATGACGAGAGGAGCTGCTTCTTGAGCTGTTCGGCCCTCGGGAATGCCTCCTTCAGCAGTTTCTTTATCTTTGCCCGCTCTACCTTGAACTCTGGCTTGTTGTAGTCGGGATACTGTTTTGGCAGCTTCTCCACAAACAGTCTGAGGGTGAGTAGAAGAGCGCGTGAACGCCACATTGTATCACCAGCTGAACTTACGTGACAAACTTGTTGTACAAAACAAATGCCTTGTCCATCTGGCCCTCAGCATAGTACACTCTACCCTACATGTAACAAGACTCAATAACCCTGCAAATATAAAACTCAAATTTCCTCAATTCCTAATTAGAGCCCACTATATACACTCTGCTTCAGCCTCCTGGTTCTATAGCGGCCCTCCTCTCCCCCGGCTCACCTGTCTCTCCATCTCACTGCCGCTCCTGAAGTAGCGTTTCACGGGGAAGGCCTTGTCCACCGTGACGGAGCTGCCTATCTCGCTCAGCTCACGGACTCTCCTTTGCGGGTCAAGGACCATCTCCTGCGTCAGCTGGCGCCTCACGCCCCTGCCCTCCCTCGACATCTCTTCTCTCAGCTGCAAGAATCCCAGTGAACCCGCTCAGAGGACCGCTTTTCTGACGGCTGTAGAATTATAGTTTTCTCTCGGTTTTGTTATTATTTCTCACATGATTTACTCGTGATAATGACCCGCGCACGCACGCATGCGCAAAATGAATAGGCCAAAGTACAACATAAGGTGGCCATACAGCTTGCTGCTAATATATAGTACATAATTTCAGGCACTAATCAGGGTAAAATGTGTGATCTCAGGCCTATAGTGTCTAAAGGGAATCCAATAGTACACGGTTCCTGGACTGACATAGACAAACACCCCCGGCCGCGGCTCGTACAGACCCACAAAGAAAGGGTTGAAGAGATAGACGAGGACCGAGAAGGGAAAGAACTGGCCGGCGTGTGTGTGTCCTGCGAGGGTGAGTCGAACGTCGCTCCACTCTATGGTCTCTAGAGCGGCTCGAGGCTGGTGGGCCAGGACTAGTGTCGGTGTGCCACTGGTTCGAGAACCAAGAGCAGCCTCTAGATCCATTGAATGGTGTGCTCCATATCTGAGAACACAGAACCACATAATCTATAATCTTGGCTAGGTTAGCCTTCAACATCATTGCTGCTAATGGCAGTAAAGCGACTTACATCCCCCAACTTCTGGTTGTGATATCCTCAAGCCCAGCTAGGTATATCCCTCCAACACACTCTCCTGCCTCCCTTTCTCCTCCTCCCGCCCCCTTGCCCAGAAGGCACACTCTGCTGTTAATGAGAGGAGTCACCCCCAATTTTGGCAGCTCTGCTATCCAGTTGTCCACATCTCCGGTGTAGTACTCGTGATTACCTATAAAAGGCATCAGAACTGCAATAAGTTACAGTATCCTACGATATTGTTCTTCGGATGAAGCGTGTGGTGAGGGCACACTCACCTACATACCAGTGGCAAAGAAGACTCCATGCTTCCCTCTCAGCCCACGCAGCGGCTGCACAATCTCTCTCAGGAACACTACTGCACCGTCAACCAAATCGCCAGTAATGACTACCAAGTCTGGGTTCAGTTTGTTTGTCTCGTCCACGATTCGCTGCAAGGTACTGCGGCCACTGTACCCTCCCAAGTGAATATCGCTCAATTGGACAACTGTTGTTCCATTGAGTGCACGATCCAGGCCCCGTATTGGTATGTTTAGTCTTTCAACTGTAAATTGAGCTACTCCCAAAAGTCCTGCAAAAGACAAGCCAATTGCAGCTACCAGAGCTACCAGAAATCTCCACCTCGCCTCAGATCTTTCCAATCTCCTCCCTCGTCTCCTTTGAGAGGTGAATAAGGTCTTTCCAATGCAGAAGAACGCGAGGTCGGTGAGAGACAATGAGGTGCACAAGAAAAGAGCGATTCCGATGCAAGTGTTACTGATTCTGGTGACGAGCGCGGGCTCTCGATCCACGAACAGCAGACCCAGTCCCACAGAAAACTGTGCGGAGCCCAACACCACAATGAGCACCGCTCTGACTGCAGTACCGGCAGACAGAAACTTGCATCCGGGCTGGAAGACTCGCGTGACCCGTTTCCACACGTACCATCCTCCGGCCGACACTAGGAGCTGGTGGAACGACAGAACGTGGAGCCTGAGAGCTCGCGCTCTCTTGTTTCCCTCCATGGAGTACACCCATACCTCCACCGCCACCACGAGGAGGAAGGAGAGAACAGAAATAGCTCCTACTCTTCCCATCGCGGCTTCCGCGCTGGTGGGATATGGTGCGCATGCGCAATAATAATAATACGCCGTGTGACCACACCCCCAACTGTGAGATAATGGAGCCCGGCGATGAGGAGATCCCAGATTTGGTACCAATCTCCACACCAAAGGTCCCTGTCACAATCATAACTGGATATCTAGGTATTACCTAACATGATGCACAAACCTTGTTCGTCAAAGCTACCCACCTATGATAGTGTAGCTAGCTAAACACCGTATTTCGTAGGAGCTGGTAAAACGACTCTTCTGAACTACATTCTGACCGAGCAGCACCAGAAAAGGATTGCAGTCATCCTCAATGAGTTTGGAGAAGGTATACACACTCTCCAGAATAGTATGGAACACTACTGCACTGCAACAGTTCTGAACTGCCAGTCTGTCTCCATTTACAGTAGAACCTCAGATAAAGAAGTTAACACTCCGAATAAAAACCACTAAATAAAGATCACACTTTCAGGTCCCAAACGTTCACTTTTCTCTGATTCTATTACAGTTAATGTTAACCTCCAAAGAGAGGACAACCTCCCTATAAAACTAATCCCTAGTCCCAACGTGTCCACTACTCGGATATATTTGACCACAGGTAGTGCAGTAGAGAAGAGTCTGGCAGTGGGGCAGTCCGGGGAGCTGTACGAGGAGTGGCTGGAACTGAGAAATGGCTGTCTCTGCTGCTCTGTCAAGTAATACATCAGATGATGGGATTGTGTTTTACAAGGTGTATCATGTAGAGGGTTGCAAATGGTTTTAGTCTTGCCTGCCAGACCCAGCTCTCAAGCCCTCTATTGCATGCTATATCAATGCTTTTCTATGCAGGTTAGGCGACTTATAGAGGCCTTTTCCACACATTATCCCACAAATCACGACATTCGAATAACAAGTGGAACTGTTGTAGGGATGTGGGTGTGAAGGCGATAGAGAACCTGATGCAGAAGAAAGGGAAGTTTGACTACATTCTACTGGAGACCACGGGACTGGCCGATCCTGGCCCCATTGCTGCCATGTTCTGGCTGGACGATGATCTCGGCAGCGAGATTTACCTCGACGGTATAAGTTTTCATATTTCCCCAACAATAACAACTGTCCTATCCAGCTATCCTTACCTGATGTTTTATCTTAGGTATTGTCACAGTGGTAGATTCCAAGCACATATTTCAGGTTTGAATACTCTTGGTCCAACTAAACCCATTGGTTGATCACCAATGTTACCTTCCCAGCAAGTATCAGAGAAGAGACAAGATGGCTCGCTCAATGAAGCAGTGAGGTATTGCTGTCCAAGTGTTGGCATTGACTATTGTTTAGAGTTGCTGCATGATGCATTTGGGTGTGCAGGCAAATAGCTCTGGCAGACTTGGTTCTGGTCAACAAGACTGACTTGGTGTCTGGAGATGCTCTCAAAGACGTCCGTCAAAGAGTGCAGTGAGCTGAGCTATATATACAATGTAGAATCAGTATTCTTCACACCATCGTATTGCTGCTTGGTCTCATTTTAACTCCGGTTTTTTTTGTGAGTAGAAAGAAAACGCTATTGGGTGACGGGAAAAAAAGCATGGGGGGGGGGGGGGGGGGGGGGGGGAAA